GCGCAGCACCTAAACACCACACTGTCCAGAGCAGTGAGTTCCCGGAACAGACCGGGGTAACAGATCCAGCATGTTACACAAGGATGGAGAGGTGTCATGCATGATAGGGGAAAAATGGATGGGGTGTTGGATGGCAGTGGGTTGTCGCGGACGAAAGTAAAGAGGATTGGGGAGTCTCGGAAGAAATTGAAAGTGAACAGCAGACAGGGCAGGAGGGTGGTTGAGGAGAGGGATCAGTAAAATCAGGTACCAGATCAGATCTCAGAGGTGCCGGATCGGGTGTTCCGGCACAAATTAAGCCCTTGTCCAGAATAATGGGCCATTCTGACCTGAAGCTGAAGATATAGGCCCACACAGATGGTTTTACAACACTCAAAATAGCTCATGGAGCTTTGTACAGCTGAACCACTGAATGCTTTGACTGTGTTTTTGGTCTTTTCTGGACTTTGAGCATCTCGAACCCTTGCTGACTATGAAGGATGAGGGAGCTCTCGCATTCATCTAAAATATATCCATTTGTGTCTGAAGATGAACAAAGCTCTGAGGGCATTGAACATAAGGGTGATTAGGGTTTTCACTGTACTTCAGGAAACCTGGTACTGTGTACATTTTTTCTGTAGTACCTTGGTAGTGAAGTACTGGTTCTTTTGACAACACTAAGTGTTATAGCATTATTATTTTAGGATGAACTTTGTTTAGAGTAGGTTGGAAGCCCTCGAGGAGCAGGACTGCTCATGCCTGTTCTAGGTTAATTCAATACTACATCATGTAGCAAATCCCAACTCATGGACCTTTGCAATTTGGTCGCCACTATCTCTCCAACTTTACAATGTCATCATATTGTCATCATATTGTCCTAAAGTCAAAAATACCTAAAAAAAATAACTTTAAAAATGTTAACTCTCTTTGCTCCCCCTACAGATGCGTGTGGTTTGATTCGCTGGATGTTAATGGTAAACCCGGAGCGCAGAGCGACACTGGAGGACATTGCCGGCCACTGGTGGGTCAACTGGGGCTTTGAGCTCCCCCTACTGGCTCAGAGTGACCCTGCAACTGCACATCCAGCTTCAGAACCAGCAGCTGTAGTGAGCCAAACCAATGGATCGACCCGCATCGCGGACTGGCTGCGGCGCAGCTCTCGCCCCCTGCTGGAGAGCAGCTCTAAGATGCGCTGCCTGCTGCGGACAGGAGAGCCGGTGCAGAGGCAGCGCTCCATACGCAGGTCCCGCAAGGAAAACAACATCTCGCAGAGCATGCAGGAGACTCCGCGGCCCGCTAAAGGCATCCTGAAGAAGAGGGGTAGCCTAAAACTAAAGGCGCCCCCAGAACCCCAGCTTACTCCCTTAGAGGAGAAGAGCTCTAATGCACTAGTGGCCGCTGTCCTTCCTCCACCTCCGAAAGGCATCCTAAAGAAACCTTCGGAAAGCGAGTCCAGCTGTTGTTCCCTCTCTCCACAGAACTCTGGCCAAACCCTTGGGAACCCATCACCTGTTCCGCACCGCAAAGGAATCCTCAAACGCCACAGCAAGTTTTCCGGCGGACTGCAGGAATTCGGCTCACTGGATCAGCTCGCACTGTGTTCGCCTGCAGTGGTGAACCGACCTCGACCTAGCGGAGCGGTTAGCGAAGACAGCATCCTCTCCTCGGAGTCCTTTGATAGACTGGACTTACCCGAGCGGGAGATCCCTGTTGCATCAATGGGGCGACTGTCGGGAAAACAGAGGATGCGAGGATGTGTTTCGGCGGACAATCTCCTGGACCTGCAGGAAGACAGGACTCAGGGACACTGGGAGATGGAGATCGCCTACCGAGCAGGAGTGTCCGATAGCATTTTTTCAATCACCGACTGTGAAAACGTCACGCAGACTTACAAACAAGCCTTGGGAGCAATCGCAACCTGAGATGCAGGGAGACTGAAGTGCGGGATCTCCAGGAAATAAGTCAAAGCCAGATGAACACTGGTAAGATTTCAGACCCGGCAGGAAGCGGGTTCTGACAAGGAACAGGAAGCCCTGTTTGGCGGACTCTTTGGTGGCGTTTTATTGCAGACTCTTGTGGTTTTTATCTGATCAGCTGTCGAATGACGGCGACTGTTGTGCTTTGAAATGTTTGTGGTTTTAATGGACTCTTAATGGTGTTGGCTAGTGAAAAAAGAAAGTCCCGAAGATGAATCTCATGCTGTGAACTTCAGATCTTCTGCTTGTTTTTAAGTTGGCGTCTACAGCTAAACGTTCTCCCAATGCAAAGACTGACTAAACGATCAACTGAAAGTGGATCTGAAGATGGATCTCTGACTTTACACCATAAACCATAGTCTGTTTATGACTGTACGCAGTGCAGACTTCTGTTTTCCATGATAAGAACTCTGTCAGATGAGAGTGTTTAAACTGCTGTGAACACACTGGGAATAACACTAACAGGGTGAGATCAAACTCCTCCAAATCATGTAGAGTAATGGTGGGTAACTTCTTTGTTTTTGAGGGGGTGAGAATAGTTCAGAAAGGGATGAATGATGAATGGTATCTCAGTGTCAAAGGTCTTGTGTTTGTGTGAATCTCCTGGAGTTCATACAGTGTTCTCTGGGATTCATGGCATGTGTTGACGGAGGTAATGAGGTGCTTTTCTGTGTGTTTGGTGTCATATTTGTTTGAGTTCCTGCATGTTTTTGTTTTTGCCAAAGTGCCTGATTTATCTGCCGTGAATCAGCGGACCAATAAAACAGCACAAATGAAGAGGAAATGCTGTCTGTTATTGTGTGGTGTCAGTGTTCGTTCAGTTGACAAATAATTTACGATATTATTCGATAACATCATTTCACTGATGGAAATTTCAAATGATAAAAACCATGCACGGACATTTTCATCAACAAATAAAGATGTTTATAGAGGGTCAATTACTTATAAGATCCGATCAGAACGAATGACGAGAACAAGCAATTATGAATCCAGAGCAAATGCACTTCTAACTATCCAAAACACTATGTCTGTGGTGTTAATCAACTTTGAATTGGACCACATGCAATCTGCTTGTTAAGTGTGACGTCACATGAATCGGCTTCTGGGTCCAAGTGCTATAAGTGCACACTGTATGAGGAGACTCAACAAATGGCAAAAATAAACATTTACCAAGCGATGTGATACTTTCGAAAATCACAATATAAACTATATTGCTAAACTAAAAAAAAATCCCCTCGCCACACACTTACTTTCACTTTCAATTTGGTAATTGCATGTATTTATCACTGTAACAGTCTCCTTGCCATGACATCTCGTAAGGGTTTTTCCCCTAAAATACTCCTTAATTTGTTCGTACAAATGGTATCAGTAAAGTGCATTTGTTAAACTGACAGCCGCGTAATTAAAGGTGCTGTATGTGAGTTTTTGGACTCTTCTGCATCAAACAGCATCATATGTGTGCAGATATTCAGAAACATGTCTTGTTTATCTGAGACACAAAGCTGAAGTCAGATATTCTGCTTTAAATGTGTTTTCCGTGCCGAAATGGCTGTCTTTGTTTTGGTCATTTAACCCGTACAATGCCAGTTTAGCCAATTATATTTCAGCACCAGGGTTGCCAGATGGTGGAAAACAGTGTATTTCATTCAGTCAGGAAGGCTCTCAGAGCATGCGTCTGTGACTGGAATGCACCCTCTGGTGGACAGTAGCAGACTCTGAAATGAGACGCAGATTCAGAGTTCCACATGAGGTTATTAATTAGCAGATAATATAAATATTAGGAGTGTAAACATTAGGTGAGCAGGTTTCATTGTAACCCTGTGTCCTAACAACACTCAACGGGATACGCAGTGATGAGCAGTTTGGCTGTTTGCAGCAGACGAAACAGGACAGAAGTGTAAACACAGCAGCACAGAATAGAGCACTCACTGCACTCCAGCACAATGCTGAGCTTTATACTCTAATGAACACAAATTAAAGCTGTTTAACAGGATTATTTATTTTGTCTTGTGGTTTTGTGTTTCTGTGTTTTGTGTGTTATGGCAGTCATTGCGTAAGCAATTTCCTGCGGGATCAATAAAGTTTTCTAAGTCTAAGTCTAAATGTGGATGCTGAATCACTGATATGTGTTGGTTTGCACCGAGTCTGAAGTTCAGTTTCAGACATTTTATTCTAACTGCTGCAACTAAGCAAAGTTATGCCACCTGTGTGCTAGTTTAAAGTTCCGAGCTTATACGCCAATGCTAATACGCACGCACACTGGATTAACTATACCAGCGGACCGTTCACACATCACGTCTTTTCCGCGCGCAAGTTCGTTATTTCCAATATTAGAATATATGCCAATATGCGTGCGGCTTTCAGTTCAGTGTAAACAAAAGATATGTCAGACGAATTATTACAAATGATTATGTATGTCTGAACGCAGATGATAATAACAGTTCATTTAAATACTTAGCTAATATAAAGCTTAAATTTACATTAGACGTGATAGCCGTGATGATTATTCTCCAGACTTTATAATCGTAACCAAAATCTATAATCGTTGCATCTATAAGTGTTACGCAGTTCAAAACACAACATACTCCAGCACTGCTCTGCTTCTGTTCTGCTCTGAAATACAACATTTGAATATGTGTGTAAAAAAATTAAGTCTAATGTACACTGCAGTGATGTTTTGTAGCTTCAAAATACAATATATTAATATTTTAATGTAGAAAAAGCAAACGTGGGTGTCTTAAGGAGCAAAAATACAGCATGTGAGCTCTTATATGCAGCTGTATCATCACTCATATTCCGGCCCCTCGTTTGGGATGCTCTTCATGAACTGCCCCCCATGACCAGCTAATTGAACAGCCCTGCTGTACAGCACAGGTGTCAAACTCAGCTCCTGGAGGGCCGCAGCTCTGCACTGTTCAGCTTTACCCCTAATTAAACCCCCAATTAAACAGGTGAGTGTGTTGAAGCAGAGCTGTGCACTGAATTAGAAAGGCAAATCCTGCAGAGCAGATGTAAATGTGTGAGTAAAGCAGCACGCTTCAGTCCTCATCTGGACTCTTTATTATTGTTCACACAGTTGATCTTCAGGAGAGTCTATCAGTAACGTACACTCCTCTCTCAGCGGGGGGTTTAAATGATTCCCGTCTGTGTGTGTGTGTGTGTGTGTGTTTGACAGGACAAAGGTTTGTGGGTAAACATTTGCTCTGGTGCAGAACATCTGCCATATTAAAGTGAACATGCTCAAACGCAAACAGAAAGGCGAGCGTGATCGCGCAGGTGTGAGGGCTCTGAAACCTGTTCGCATCACAGCGGGACGTCCTGCGTCTGCACAGGTGGAGCCGGCAGCGTCTGCTCGATCATCTGCTCCAGCGCTGAGAAACACACATGCAGAGACGCCTGCGACACACACACACACACACACACACCTTACTACAGAACAGAACAGCGGTTGCTTCTTGCAATATACACATATATAATATATATACACAGTCTGAAGTCAGGCTTTATTTTTTGCTAGTTTATTTCTGGCGCAGTGGTTAGCACTGTGGCCTCACAGCAAGAAGGTCTCTGGTTCGAGTCCCGGCTGGGTCAGTTGGTGTTTCTGTGTGGAGTTTGCATGTTCTCCCCGTGTTGAATTGGGTAAGCTAAATTGGTAGTAGTATATGAGTCTGTGTAAATGAGTGTGTATGGGTGTAAAACATATGCTGGAATAGTTGGCGGTTCATTCCACTGTGGCGACCTCTGATTAACAAAGAGATTAAGCCGAAAATAATATAGTGGGATGAATTTGCTTGTTGCTAGCATGTTTCTAAGGTTGCTAATCAGGTTTAGCATGCTGTTAACAGGCTTTATTTGTTTGCTAGTTCATTTCTAACATGTTTTAATATTATACTTCCTAAGATCATTATTGTCAACATATTTCACATGTTTTTGCTAGCATTTTAGCATGTTTAGCATTTAGCTGTTAGTGTATTTGCCTTTTAGCATGTTGTTGGGATAAATTAGCTTGTTAGCATGGTTATTGTATATTGCTAGTATGTTTTCACACAACTCAAACAGGTTTAAGACACTGCTAGCATTTCTTTCTAATGTTGCTAACATGTTTTATATGTCGCTAGCTCATTTTTACCATGTTAGTGTTCTAACATTGTGTTTGCATTTACAACATTTTGCTAACACATTTTAAACATGTTGCTAAGCTATATTTTGTTTTAACATGCTGCTAACATTAATTAGCATGATTCTAGCACAATGTTAATATATCGTAACACTGCTTGTTTGTTTAGCATGTTGCTAACATGTTTTGTGTTTCTAGTCTTTTAACGCTATGCTTACATGTTGCTAACACATTTTAAATAGCATGTTTCTCAACATTTTAGCATGTTAGCATGAATTAGTATGCTGTTTAGATGATTTTGCTAGCATGTTTTAGCATCTGTTTAGTATTATTAGCAAGTTGCCTTTGTTTTAGCACAATTCTTGCATTTTGCTGGCCTATTGTTACTAGCATTACTATATTGTAACACAGCTTGCTTAATTAACATGCTGCTGTTTCTAGTGTTGTAACATTATGCTAACATTTTAAACATTTTAGATGTTGACTGTATGTTTTTCTAAGTTTTAGCATGCTAGCATTAGTTAGTTTTAACACCGTTTGTATGTTTAGCAAGTTGCTAACACATTTAAAATATTTTTACTAACATGCTCTGTATGTTTTAGCATCTATTTAGCATGATTAGCATGTTGCTGCTTTAACACTATGAACATTGTCAACAGATTTTATATGTTGCTAACAAATTAGCAAGTATTGCATGTTTTAACAATTTGTTTGCATTTTCAGCATTTTGTCAACACATTTTAAACATGTTGCTAAGCTATTTTTGTTTTAGTGTGTTGCTAACATTAAATAGCATGGTCCTAGCACAATGTTAATATATCGTAACACTGCTTGCTTATTTAGCATGTTGCTAAGAGTGTGTTAACATCTGGGACCTCACCTTGTCCATATCCAGCATGTTGCTTAGCATCTGCAGCATCTGCTCGGCGCTAACAGTGTCCTGCAGGAGCTTCAGTCTAAGCAGCGCCGCCGTCACACAGGAACAGGCCACGACGGACGGGCGGAAGAACGAGAACTTCAGCTCTGACACACAAACACATCAATGATGAACACCGTTATTCTCCATGATTCTCAATCAGGTTAGCTCCTGTGGGATTCTGTGATCAATTTATAGCTTAGCGACAGTAACCGAGTGGGCGGGGCTTTCAGAGGGTCAGTTCCAGGCTAAATGTTGTTGTAGCTTAGCGACAGTAACCAGGTTTTAAAAATTTGCGACAGTTACTCAGTGGGCGGGGCTTTCAGACGGTCAGTTCCGGGCTGAATGTTTTTGTAGCTTAGCGACAGTAACCGAGTGGGCGGGGCTTTCAGAGGGTCAGTTCCAGGCTAAATGTTGTTGTAACTTAGCAACAGTAACCAGGTTTAAAAAATTTGCGACAGTAACCGAGTGGGCGTGGCTTTCAGAGGGTCAGTCTGAATGTTTTTGTAGCTTAGCGACAGTAACCAAGTGGGCGTGGCTTTCAGAGGGTCAGTTCCGGGCTGAATGTTTTTGTAGCTTAGCGACAGTAACCGAGTGGGCGTGGCTTTCAGAGGGTCAGTTCCGGGCTGAATGTTTTTGTAGCTTAGCGACAGTAACTGAGTGGGCGGGGCTTTCAGAGGGTCAGTTCCGGGAAGAATGTTTTTGTCACTTAGCGACAGTAACTGAGTGGGCGGGGCTTTCAGAGGGTCAGTTCCGGAAATAATGTTTTTGTAGATTAGCAACAGTAACCGAGTGGGCGGGGCTTTCAGAGGGTCAGTTCCGGGAAGAATGTTTTTGTAGATTAGCAACAGTAACCGAGTGGGCGGGGCTTTCAGAGGGTCAGTTCCGGGCTGAATGTTTTTGTAGCTTAGCGACAGAAACCGAGTGGGCGGGGCTTTCAGAGGGTCAGTTCCAGGCTAAATGTTGTTGTAACTTAGCAACAGTAACCAGGTTTAAAAAATTAGCGACAGTAACCGAGTGGGCGTGGCTTTCAGAGGGTCAGTCTGAATGTTTTTGTAGCTTAGCGACAGTAACCAAGTGGGCGTGGCTTTCAGAGGGTCAGGTCCGGGCTGAATGTTTTTGTAGCTTAGCGACAGTAACCGAGTGGGCGTGGCTTTCAGAGGGTCAGTTCCGGGCTGAATGTTTTTGTAGCTTAGCGACAGTAACTGAGTGGGCGGGGCTTTCAGAGGGTCAGTTCCGGGAAGAATGTTTTTGTCACTTAGCGACAGTAACTGAGTGGGCGGGGCTTTCAGAGGGTCAGTTCCGGAAAGAATGATTTTGTAGATTAGCAACAGTACCCGAGTGGGCGGGGCTTTCAGAGGGTCAGTTCCGGGAAGAATGTTTTTGTAACATAGCGACAGTAACTGAGTGGGCGGGGCTTTCAGAGGGTCAGTTCCGGAAAGAATGATTTTGTAACATAGCGACAGTAACTGAGTGGGCGGGGCTTTCAGAGGGTCAGTTCCAGACTAAATATTTTTGTAGTATAGCAACAGTAACCAGGTTTGAAGCTTAATGATGGTAACCAAGTGGGCGAGGCGTTCAGAGGTTAGCGACAGTAACTGAGTGGGCGTGGCTTTCAGAGGGTCAGTTCCGGAAAGAATGATTTTGTAGATTAGCAACAGTACCCGAGTGGGCGGGGCTTTCAGAGGGTCAGTTCCGGGAAGAATGTTTTTGTAGATTAGCAACAGTAACTGAGTGGGCGGGGCTTTCAGAGGGTCAGTTCCGGAAAGAATGATTTTGTAGATTAGCAACAGTACCCGAGTGGGCGGGGCTTTCAGAGGGTCAGTTCCGGGAAGAATGTTTTTGTAACATAGCGACAGTAACTGAGTGGGCGGGGCTTTCAAAGGGTCAGTTCCGGAAAGAATGATTTTGTAACATAGCGACAGTAACTGAGTGGGCGGGGCTTTCAGAGGGTCAGTTCCAGACTAAATATTTTTGTAGTATAGCAACAGTAACCAGGTTTGAAGCTTAATGATGGTAACCAAGTGGGCGAGGCGTTCAGAGGTTAGCGACAGTAACTGAGTGGGCGTGGCTTTCAGAGGGTCAGTTCCGGGCTGAATGTTTTTGTAGCTTAGCGACAGTAACTGAGTGGGCGGGGCTTTCAGAGGGTCAGTTCCGGGAAGAATGTTTTTGTCACTTAGCGACAGTAACTGAGTGGGCGGGGCTTTCAGAGGGTCAGTTCCGGAAAGAATGATTTTGTAGATTAGCAAAAGTACCCGAGTGGGCGGGGCTTTCAGAGGGTCAGTTCCGGGAAGAATGTTTTTGTAACATAGCGACAGTAACTGAGTGGGCGGGGCTTTCAGAGGGTCAGTTCCAGGCTAAATGTTGTTGTAGCTTAGCGACAGTAACCAGGTTAAAAAAATTAGCGACAGTTACTCAGTGGGCGGGGCTTTCAGAGGGTCAGTTCCGGGCTGAATGTTTTTGTAGCTTAGCGACAGTAACCGACTGGGCGGGGCTTTCAAAGGGTCAGTTCCAGGCTAAATGTTGTTGTAACTTAGCAACAGTAACCAGGTTTAAAAAATTAGCGACAGTAACCGAGTGGGCGTGGCTTTCAGAGGGTCAGTCTGAATGTTTTTGTAGCTTAGCGACAGTAACCAAGTGGGCGTGGCTTTCAGAGGGTCAGTTCCGGGCTGAATGTTTTTGTAGCTTAGCGACAGTAACCGAGTGGGCGTGGCTTTCAGAGGGTCAGTTCCGGGCTGAATGTTTTTGTAGCTTAGCGACAGTAACCGAGTGGGCGTGGCTTTCAGAGGGTCAGTTCCGGGCTGAATGTTTTTGTAGCTTAGCGACAGTAACTGAGTGGGCGGGGCTTTCAGAGGGTCAGTTCCGGGAAGAATGTTTTTGTCACTTAGCGACAGTAACTGAGTGGGCGGGGCTTTCAGAGGGTCAGTTCCGGAAAGAATGTTTTTGTAGATTAGCAACAGTAACTGAGTGGGCGGGGCTTTCAGAGGGTCAGTTCCGGAAAGAATGATTTTGTAGATTAGCAACAGTACCCGAGTGGGCGGGGCTTTCAGAGGGTCAGTTCCGGGAAGAATGTTTTTGTAACATAGCGACAGTAACTGAGTGGGCGGGGCTTTCAGAGGGTCAGTTCCGGAAAGAATGATTTTGTAACAAAGCGACAGTAACTGAGTGGGCGGGGCTTTCAGAGGGTCAGTTCCAGACTAAATATTTTTGTAGTATAGCAACAGTAACCAGGTTTGAAGCTTAATGATGGTAACCAAGTGGGCGAGGCGTTCAGAGGTTAGCGACAGTAACTGAGTGGGCGTGGCTTTCAGAGGGTCAGTTCCGGGCTGAATGTTTTTGTAGCTTAGCGACAGTAACTGAGTGGGCGGGGCTTTCAGAGGGTCAGTTCCGGGAAGAATGTTTTTGTCACTTAGCGACAGTAACTGAGTGGGCGGGGCTTTCAGAGGGTCAGTTCCGGAAAGAATGATTTTGTAGATTAGCAACAGTACCCGAGTGGGCGGGGCTTTCAGAGGGTCAGTTCCGGGAAGAATGTTTTTGTAGATTAGCAACAGTAACTGAGTGGGCGGGGCTTTCAGAGGGTCAGTTCCGGAAAGAATGATTTTGTAGATTAGCAACAGTACCCGAGTGGGCGGGGCTTTCAGAGGGTCAGTTCCGGGAAGAATGTTTTTGTAACATAGCGACAGTAACTGAGTGGGCGGGGCTTTCAGAGGGTCAGTTCCAGACTAAATATTTTTGTAGTATAGCAACAGTAACCAGGTTTGAAGCTTAATGATGGTAACCAAGTGGGCGAGGCGTTCAGAGGTTAGCGACAGTAACTGAGTGGGCGTGGCTTTCAGAGGGTCAGTTCCGGGCTGAATGTTTTTGTAGCTTAGCGACAGTAACTGAGTGGGCGGGGCTTTCAGAGGGTCAGTTCCGGAAAGAATGATTTTGTAGATTAGCAACAGTACCCGAGTGGGCGGGGCTTTCAGAGGGTCAGTTCCGGGAAGAATGTTTTTGTAGATTAGCAACAGTAACTGAGTGGGCGGGGCTTTCAGAGGGTCAGTTCCGGAAAGAATGATTTTGTAGATTAGCAACAGTACCCGAGTGGGCGGGGCTTTCAGAGGGTCAGTTCCGGGAAGAATGTTTTTGTAACATAGCGACAGTAACTGAGTGGGCGGGGCTTTCAGAGGGTCAGTTCCAGACTAAATATTTTTGTAGTATAGCAACAGTAACCAGGTTTGAAGCTTAATGATGGTAACCAAGTGGGCGAGGCGTTCAGAGGTTAGCGACAGTAACTGAGTGGGCGGGGCTTTCAGAGGGTCAGTTCTGAGCTGAATGTCAGGCTGGACGGTTTGCTGAAAGCGGAGCAGCGGTGGACAAAAGCGTGTCTGACACACCCGGCCCATAATGCACTGCTGATACTCTAACAATGAGCGGATCAACACAAACCTGCTGACACACACACACACACACACACACACACAGTAGACCAGTACAAGTATGTGTATGTGTGCCTGTGGACAAGAGGGCAATGTAGTAGTGTGTGTGTGGATGTGCATGTGTTTATTGTGTGTGTGTGTGTGTGTGTGTACCTGTAGCCGTGAGGGCGATGTAGCAGTGTGTGTGTCTGCGCACGCTGCTGTGGTCCTGTGCAGGGATGGGCAGCGCCTGCAGGATCAGCTCCAGGAAGTCAGAGGGCAGCACTGAGGCCAGATCCCATTGGAGATGTGACACCAACAGCACCTCCCACTGCTGCACACACACACACACACAGATAAACATACACACAAACACACACAAAAAAGAAAGAATGACACACACACACACACACACACACACAGCCTCTTCATAAAGCACATGCATAATCAGTTTATGCACTTCAAGTTAGAATGTGTGTGTCTTTCTGTCTGTCTGTGTATCGGTGTATGTTTGTGTGTATATGTGTGTGTGTGTGTTGTCACCAGTATCTCGGAGACGCTGCAGGCGTGGTCAGTGTAGATGCTCAGTGTTTCAGCGCTCAGAGGAACAGTCTCCCGCAGTTTGGAGGCCAGAAACATGCAGACGGAGCCCAGCAGCTGCAGATGACACGGCCGCACGGCACTCTGGGACATGTACCTGTCCAGGTAATGAACGGCCAGAGGAAACACCTCCTCCTCGCACTTCTGCTCCTCACACACCTGACGGACCAATCAGAGTCAAATACACACTTTATTTCTGTACAAACATTAGACTCATGCGCTAAACTGGAATAAAGCTGAAAACATTAATGCTGGGAACAGAGGAATCGCCATTAATGACAGCCTAAATAAATGTTAAGATGTGTATTATAAACATGTAACACACACACACACACACACACACATTAAAACAAAACTATACAAACTTGTTTTTTGGCATAAATATTTAAATCTATTTTACCGGCCACTTTATTAGGTACACCTATCCAACTGCTTGTTAACACAGATGTTTAATCAGCCAATCACATGGCAGCAGCATGTAGACATGGTCAAGAGGATCTGCTGCAGGTCAGAGCGAGCATCAGAATGGGGAAGAAAGGGGATTTAAGACACTTTGATCGTGGCATGGTTGTTGCTGCTAGACGGGCTGCTCTGAGTATTTCAGAAACTGCTGATCTACTGGGATTTTCACGCACAACCATCTCTAGGGTTTACAGTGAATGCTCCGACAGAGAGGAAATATCCAGTGAGCGGCAGTTCTGTGGGCGCAAATGCCTTGTTGATGAGGTCAGAGGTCAGAGGAGAATGGCCAGACTGGCTCCAGCTGATAGAAAGGCAACAGTAACTCAAATAAGCACTCGTTACAACCGAGCTCTGCAGAAGAGCATCTCTGAACACACAACACGTCCAACCCTGAGGCGGATGGGCTACAGCAGCAGAAGAGCACACCGGGTGCCGCTCCTGTCAGCTAAGAACAGGAAACTGAGGCTACAATTCACACAGACTCACCAAAACTGGCCAATAGAAGATTGGAGAAACGTTGCTGCTCTGATGAGTCTCCATTTCTGCTCACACATTCGGATGCTCGGCTCAACAACATGAAAGCATGGATCATCCTGCCTTGTATCAGCGGTTCAGGCTGGTGGTGGTGGTGTAATGGTGTGGGGGAGATTTTCTTTGGGTCCATTAGTACCAATTGAGCATCAACGCCACAGCCTACCTGAGTATTGCTGCTGACCATGTCCATCCCTTTATGAGCACAGTGTCTCCATCTTCTGATGGCTACTTCCAGCAGGATAACGCAGCATGTCATAAAGCTCAATCATCTCAGACTGGTGAACATGACGATGAGTTTACTGCACTCAAATGGCCTCCACAGTCACCAGAGCTCAATCCAATAGAGCAGCTTTGGGATGTGGTGGAACGGGAGATTGGCATCATGGATGTGCAGCCGACACATCTGCAGCAACTGTGTGATGCTATCATGACAATATGGAGCAAAACCTCTGAGGAATATCTCCAGCAGCTTGTTGAATCTACGACACCAAGGATTAAAGCAGATCTGAAGGCAAAACCCCCTTACTAGTAAGGTGTACCTAATAAAGTGGCCGGTGATTGTATACTACATCTCTAAATATAGATAAACCTTTTCTCAAATATACACATGCATGTGTGTATCTATATATACATAATAAATACACACAGTATACATTAAGTCAAATCTAATTTTTATCTTAGATATGAATCATCACGATAAATCTTTGCCCAACGCTAACTTTTCACAAATGTTTTCTGCCATATTCCAGTTTTGCGCAGTTTGTTGATAGATTCTGGCGATTGCGTGAGAGGGGTCTGGATGCAGACCTGGTGCAGATGCAATCTGAGCTGCAGCCAATGCTTTTTAAATCGCTTACCTAACCCCACCCTCACAGTGACGTCACTAGCTCCATTGAGTGCATTGTGTCTGACATTGCATCTCTGAGTAATGCAATCTCAGCTTGAGTCATAAAGGCTGCATCCAGATACTGTTGGATTGCATCACCCACTAATGTCAATAAAGTGACCGGACTACATTTACCGAGATCTGTTTGAGCAGGCTGTGTATTAAAGCAAAATAATATTGTCAGTAATGTTCAGTTTCTTATTCGGAGCGATCGATTCACTTCACAAGAGCTCAGTCGTCAGGAGTCACGGCTATCGATTAGTGCTGCGTCCCAATTCCCATACCATCCTTTCTAAACAGCATTCAAAGATAGCATTAGTAGGATAGCATTACTACTATTTCCAAAGTGTGAAACGTAGAAGCTTCTGTACTCAAACCACTAGTTTTACCCATAATATATTGTACATTAGACGTGCATTTGATTAGAACTACAAATGTAAAAGTGTAAACAAACTACAAAGATGGCGGACGCACAAGATCAACCGTCAACTCGTCAAGTGATGACGATGAAGTGATTGATTAATTATGACTAATAATTAGTATTTAGCCAACTGGAACATATTTAAATCATGTTGTCTGTGTTATATTTCATCTACAGCAACAACGTGAACTTCTATAGAGACATGTTTAACACGTCTCATAACAGCAACATAACGGTCCATTAATGAGGAAGTAGTTTGTCTCAAAGTTTGCAAACTCTTCTGTTACGCACTTAAATGATTTATATTCTTCACAAAACAGTATACTTCTAATTTTTTGGGTGAACTGTCCCTTTAAACGCTGTTCTCACCTGCAGCATCCAGCCGGTGAGGATCTTGCGCATGCGCAGCAGCTCTTCGCTCTCGGCGCCGGCTATGTGTTTTCCGCTGATGTTCGGCTTCTCCAGGCTCAGCAGGTTCTGTAGGACTCGGGTGTCCCGGGTTAGAACCGCGTCTCTGAAGGCCCGAATCGGCGCGCTCTTCACCGGGGAACTCGAGTTCAGATCGGCGCGCTCGTGACAGAACAACTCCATCACCAAATACTCCACAGTCAGTCACAAGTGCGACGCGAGGTTGTGTTCAATTAGCGCTCAACACACTTACACTCTGTTACACCACGTTAACCGGAATTCATACGTGGATTTGCATGTTTTATTGGTAATTCAGCGACGCATCGTCGCGAGCAGAAGCGAGCCTCGTGCCCGCGCTCACGAGAGTCCGAACGAACCATGTGACGTCACTTCGCGCCTTAATTAAAATTAATTTACGTAATTTATTTTGTTACTACATCTGTCTTTTCTTATTAATTCTGAACTGTTTGTCCTCATAATTAATAAAAATTAATAAAACTCATTTCTGATAAAATTAAGTTAGTTTAACAAAAAATAATAAAAAAAGACAAAACTACAAAGAGGTCCTAGATAAAAAACAATCCTCGTGGAAAAGTTTAGTTTGTTGGGTGAGATGGTCAAATAAATAAAATTATCACGTTCACTTCAGGATTATTACAAATGAGAAAAATACACTTGTACAGATGTGTTTTTACCAATAATGAATTCCTCCAGTTGTTGTTAATTGCAAGACAACACTACTGGGGCACGGCCCCCTCAAACACACCCATATCGTTTTATTTAATTTTATTTAATAATACAAAAAATATTTGATAATTATGAATAAACGTATCTATTAAATACATGTTATTATTATAATACAATTATTATTCAAAATTATTAAAAGAAATCAATCATTAATAGCTGGAAAAAATGGTAAAGACAAAACTGGAGAGATATGCTAAGATCATTTAAAAAATATTTGTATGAATATTAATTTTAGTAGAATGAAATACTATACAATACAAAAAATACGTTTTACAGAATTATGTTGTCTCTCGACACATCAGGTTTAGTAAGTTTCATCATCCCTCCTTTCTGCTTCATGTGAAAAAAATATCTATCAAGAGCCATGCTGTTAAAATAGGATCATCGTCATCAGATTACCATTTAAACTTTAGTTTTGTCGACTTGCAAAACTCACAGCGTGCCGACAACTCTGCATTGACGGCTGTGATGCCGGTTTCACAACGCATGAGCGGCGAATACTTTCAGCATACATGTCAACATCCGGGACTCGCAGAGCAAGGAGATGTGTGTGGAGCACGCAAGTAGGGTTTTCAGCACGCATGCATCAGTTCGCTTTTTGATTAAACGACATTACTTTCACCAGTGTTAGTTCGATTGCACATAGAGAATAACGTCTCTATTCCGGGTTTACCACTCTTGATAAATACACCTGCATATAAAGTAAATCGTATCATTTACTGGGGCACTTGTGAATGGGGTCTGGCGACGTCCCTGCTTTAACCTCTTTAAAAATAATATAATGTTGTCACATAATTTTTAAACACAGTAGTGTTTGCGTTTTTAAAGGGTCACGAAACACCAGAGCACATGTTTTGAGCTGTTGACAGTCGTATATGTGTCCCACACTACCATAAACACTATTAGGACACCTATATCTCACTAAAAAGTGTAAATTGGTTGTTTTTGCGTTATTTCAGGCAAATTGGTACTTCCGGTTTGAAACGAATTTTTGAAGCTGCGTCACGGTCATGAGATAATAGCGTGTATTCCAGCGTGCAGACTGGACGCCTGTGCCAGAGTGTGTCTTATTACGTCTTACAGTGTGATGCATTAATGCATGAGTAAGGCTTGGTTCAAACCAATCAGCGCGCTCTATTGTGCAACTTCATTAATATTCATTACCGTCACAGTGTTTAGACGACAGAGACGCTACGTTGTGTTGGCAAAACAAGCGTGAAGTGTTGCTTTTATAGTTTGCTGCAGTGAAGTTTTGTTTTCATTTTCTCTATGTGAGAGCTCAGACTCACGTGTGGATTACAGTGTACGCGACGCTCCACAACAATAACTTACGTGTCTAAGGAGGATTATTGTTTACCTGAGAGCTGTTCTCATCTGCAAACGCTGAGATCCGGATTCGCTGCTCGTCTCCTCTTAATAAAGACGCGGCTCTAGTTGCTGGTGATTGTCCTGTCTCTACAGATTTGGTAAGTGAGTGACCAGTGCTCTTTGTTTATTCAGATTGTTCGTATCGAATTAAGTTAACTATTGCACCGAGTGTAAACATGTTAGCACCACAACCAAACTTTAACCTCGTGTAGGGTTTTTACCGCATTTTGTGACCGGAATAACACACGCGGCTTTCTGACACTACCTGCCGTGTGCATCTAAGTTTCCGGGAAATGCTGAGGGTTTTTTTCTCTCATTCGCCGTGCGGTATCAAACATTGCATTAAAAATACTGCAATGTAGTAGGCCAGTAGATGTCGCTGTGACATTTACAATAAACACGCTTTCACAACACAAATAAACACCAGACTCCTGCATTCGTTCACTTTCAGTAACTAGCTGTTTGAAATGCATTTTTAGGCCCCAAAAGCATGCAATTATGCATAAATGAAATGTAAAAAAATTACGCATAAAACGTTTACGATTTTTAGCTTAAAGCTGGCGCCGGGTAATCAGTTCCTCATGCATAGCACCAAAACTATAATGAATCTGTTCATGTTCAAAATTCAGTTTCACTGATCATAAACACAAATATAACATTTAATTTAAATTTGCTGGAATAAAACTAAACGATTTAGAGTTTGTGTGTACGTAATGAATAACTGAGTGTTGTAGCTGTGATATAACTCTTATCATTCAGTGTAGGGTTGGGCGACGTCCATCAATTTGGCATTGTTCAATGTCTAATATGAAACATCGCGATGGACGATGGCATCATCATCGTAGGAGGCGTTGAATTAATTATATATGAATAATTAATTAATTCGTAAGGAATTAATCATTTGTAGCCAACTGTTTCATCTAGCTGACCCGCATGCTCTTTGTTTACCCATTAGACTGAAGAGTCGTTAGATAGAGACGAGATTATTAAATATAACCTTTAACATCTATAGTGAGAACTATAAAACTAAGATGTATTAGTGTCAACGGGGTCTAAGTGTGTATTTTTCGTGAACAGGTTGCCGCTGCGACGAGGTCATGGCGGAGGATCTTGATGTCTATCGGCTATCAGCAATGGATGATGGCATCGTCTATCGACCCAACCCAAATTCAGTGTAGGGATATATAGCTGTAATGCGCACAAAACCTGCCGGAGCTACTTCAGCTGTGCTTTTACCTGTCAATAACGGCACCCTATAGACTGCAGATTAGCCAATCAGAATCAAGCACTGGACAGAGCTGTAGTATAACACAATTTAATGACCTGATGTAATACCAGAATAACCCAATCAGTCCAGAAACATGACTGCGACACACACTGCACTGTCAAATCTCATGTTAGTCCGTCAGTCGAGGCTCATGGCCGGCGTGGCGTCCTCCAGGTCTCGAGGCTCGGCGCTCTGCAGTTCTCTGCGTATCTCGCTGGAGATCTGCGGGTGTGTGTGGGCCTTCAGCAGCTCCAACAGCGCCTCCTTCTGCTCGGAGGACAGGTCTGCTTTATAGCGCTGCACCAGCGTCAGCAGGCTCTGATGCCACAGCACCGGCAGGATCCGTTTGTCCGTGCGGAACGACAGAAAGTGCGCGACTAACGCGTCCAGCACGCGGAACGGCAGAGCGTACTTCTTATCCAGCATCAGACGCAGGAAAATACTGTTGGCTCCGTTATACTCCATCTCAGCCAGCTTCAGCATCGCAGCGCTAAACAGAACACACAAACAAACCATTACGTTATATTTAATGACGGAACTTAAAGGGCTCCTATTTCAAGATGTAGGATGAGTCTTTGGTGTCTCTGTAAAGTTTCAGCTCAAAATACCCATCAGATCATTTATTGAACCCTGCTGAAAATGCCCATATGAAAGGAAGGTGTAGCTGTTTTTGTAGACTCTGCCTTTAAATGCAAATGAGCCACTTCTCCCCGCCCACCATTCCTGCATGTGTCTTCAGATAAACAGCAGTCAGTGACAGATGAATAATGCAGAGATTTTAAGGTTTAGTCTGTTTATTTAACAGGGGTCACCACAGCGGAATGAACCGCCAACTTATCCAGCATATGATTTACCCAGCGGATGCCCTTTCAAATGCAACCCATTAGTGGGAAACACCCATACACACTCATTCCTACACTCACACACACTACGGCCAGTTTTAGTTCAATTTTAATCCCCCTATAGCGCATGTGTTTGGGCTGTAACTCACACCAACACGGGGAGAACATGCAAACACCAACCTAGCCGGGACTCAAACCAGAGACCTGAGTGCTGTGAGGCCACAGTGCTAGCCACCATATATAAAGTTTTGAAAATGTATTGAGGTACTGAAAGGAGGCCTGCATTTGTCCGCTCTTTCGGTTTTCAGATGTTATAGTGAGGCTCAGCTCAGGCTGAATGAGCTCTGAGATCACTCTGGAGTTGGTAAACATGTTTGAGAGGCTTGCTTTTCTCAGCTGTTTCTGAGCATATGCTCGGTGACGCTGAAACAGGGTGATAAACAGTAAATAGACGAGTCTGACCTGGAGTGCAGCACGGGGATGGAGCATTTGGTGATGATGCTGCCGATGATGATGGCTTCCCTCAGTGTACATGAGCCGGACTCACAGAGCGGGAGCAGGATCCCTGAACACACACACACACACACACACACACACACACACACACACAAGCTTAATTTACACTTATGCATTTGGCAGACACTTATCCAATAAGACTTGCATAGCACCTTTTAAAATAGGATGTTATGAGATATGACATATACACACATATATATATATATATATATATATATATATATAAGTTAAGTAGAGGATTTTGGATTCATATTTTGAGATCTTCAACCCCTTCTACTACTTATTTCTCTTTATTTCTCTTATTGTGTGTGTTTTATCTATTGATTTTATTTTATATATTAGTATGATTATTACTATTATAAATGTGGATATATTGTGAATGTAAATGGACTGTTATCAGTCTTTTGGTGTAAATTAAGTTATTAATGCCTTTCTGTTAAGTGTTCAGCTATTGAAAACAAAACACACAAACAAACAAAACCAATCAGTGTTTCAAAACAAATCCAATTGGCCAAATATCGGACTTCGTTTAGATTTACGTGAGAAAACAAATGTGTGGAAAATAAATGTTCTTCAATAAAGTAAATAAATAAGAACTACTCCAGGATTCACACTGCACACTCTAGTGTTCACTTACAGTTAATGCACACACACAGAGGCTTTTCAATAGTATCTGGATGCAGCCTTTATGATATAAGCTGAGACTGCATCACTCAGCGATGCAATGTCAGACACAATGCACTCAAATGGAGCTAGTGACGTCACTGTGACGGGTAGGGTTAGGTAAGCCCATTAAAAAGCATTGGATGCAGCCCAGATTGCACTGCACTAGGTCTGCAGCCAGACCCCTCTCAGGCTATTACCGTCACTTCTGATAGTAAACACACTGCAGATCTTGTGCTCTACTCTCTGCACAGAAGCACACAGGTGATGATGATGAAGATGGTGTATGCGCTGACCTTTGAACCAGGCTGCGGGTTTGAACAGGGCCTTCTTCAGAGCGCTGTACAGGTGGAAGTTGAGCCGCTTGTACTCCGCGATGTCGTCTCTGATTCTGGGCAGCAGCACCAGATTGTAGAAGCGCTGGGCCATTCGCTCCTTCAGGTTCGAGGAGAAAATCCTGCAACACACACACACACACACCGTCAGCCAATCAGCACGCAGCAGCTCATGACCCCTGACCCCAGAGCACGACCTTGTAAGTCATTCCAAGTCTATTTGCATAGAAATGCCTGCCGAATAACTCCTGACTGTGACCATTAAGTTTGAGCCTTGAGCATGACCTCTGAGTGTGACCCCTGACCTCAGAGTGCGACCCTTGAGTGCACGAGTGTGACCCTTGACCCCGAGCATACACCTTACCCCAAAGAGCAACCTGTAACCCCGGAACATGGACCCTGATCCTTGACTCCTGAGTATGATATCTGAACGTGAGCTCTGAACAGGGCCTCTAAGTGTAATGCCTGACCCCAGAGCGTGACTCCCTGAGCATGACCTCTGTGTCCCCTGAGCTTGAGCCCAAACACGAGATTGACCTCTGAGTGTAATGCCTGACCTTTGACCCGAGTGCCCCCCTGAGCATGACCCTGAACCCCTAAGAACCTCTGCCTGATCCTTGACACCCGAGTATAATATCTGAACGTGACCCCTGAGCAGGACTTCAGAGTAAGATGCCTGACCCTTAACCCCTGAGAATGACCTTTAATGCCTGACCTTTGACCCGAGTGCCCCCTGAGCATGACCTTCATGTCCCCTGAGCTTGACTGATCCTTGACCTTTGAGTGTAAACCCAGAATGTGACCCCTAACCCAAGCAGGACCTCCAAATGTGACCCCTTGACTGTGATCCAGACTGACATCTGACCCTTGACCCCAAAGCATGACCTTTGATTGTGACCCTTGAGCATGACCGCAGAATGTGACCTCTTTGACTGTGATCTAGAGTGCGACACCGGACCCTTGACCTCTGAGTGTGACACCAGAACATGACACCTGACCCTTAAGAGTGACGCCAGAATGTTAACCTTGAGCATCATGCCTGACCCTTGAACATGACCTCTGCACATGACTGCAGAGTGACACCTGACCCTTGACCTCTGATTGTAGCTCATAAGCATAACCTATAACCTCTCAGTGTAGCCCTTAAGCATAACCTATGACCCCAGAGCATGACCTCTGACCTAGTGGCCTGGTACATGGCGGCGGCGCTCCAGGTCTCGGGCTCTGTCAGGTACAGCACCTGCTCCCAGTTGGACAGAGCTGGGATGATCTTAAAGGCTTTGGGCAGTTTCCCACTGCGGTACTTCGACAGAACCTGCGGAGAACCACAAACTCAGCATCAGTGAGATCAACACTTCTGTTTAACACTGCGCTCGTCACGGTCGCATCTCATGGACTGGACTGGACTGGACTGATATGGTATGGTGACAGGCGTGCTGATATTATGGGATGGCAGGCTGACCTTGCTGACCCCTCTGTACACCTCCACCACTCGCGGGTCCATCTGAGGCATCGCGTGACCCGACACTTCCGACAACACCGTCCCCACCTCCGTCTGCTTCTCCGTGATCTTCTCCATGATGATGTCGGCCAGTGTGCGTCTGTGGGACACACACACATCAGTGATGCTCCAGAAACACACACACATACAGACACGCACACGCACACACACACAGCAGTGATGCTCCAAATGTGACTGTGATGCTTGATTCACTGGAAGGCAGTGAGGTCAGAAGCGACCCATTTCACTGCTGAAACTCCCACCTCCGACTGCGTCCCGAGCGCAGCGCTATAATAAATACATTTCACATTAGCTAGCTCCGCAGAGCTAGCCATCACCTGAGAAGTGAAAGTGATGTTAAATGACGCATCTCGCTGAAGTCTGGGCTCTTCCTGAGATCCGATGTCCAACTTCTAGTGTCGATAGAGACAATATTACCAAGCAGGAACAACGAAAACTCGAAATTGCCGGTTCAGACATTCCTACACGCACACACTCACCGCATCGGCGGGTTTTTGCTCATGAACATCTGTATGGCTTGCTCGTCCTCCGGGTCCACCTCCACCTCTGGCTCCACCTCGTCCATGGCTTCACCCAGAGCCGGCCATTCCTCATCAGAGTCTCCATCCTGAGACACCGGCCCTGACACACACACACACACTTTAAGCAAGAGTTCAGACAAACACAAGGCAAGCTTCCAATAGGTCACGAATCTTTTGGTTTTGGATCAGTGGTTCAGAGTGCAGATCAAATTGGCGAGGTCACGTGATTTCAGTAAACAAGCCTTCATCACATCATCCCCGTTTTCAGAAAATGTCCTGCTTGTCATCTGCGGGGCGATCTGTGTTACACGTCAGTTATGCGCGCATATTAGATCGCCCCCTAGTGGACTGAACAGGAGAAGAGTGTGTAGATGTTTTTAGGAGAGATTTGTAAATGACAAGGAAGGAAGAAAGGATGACTGGATGGATGGATATAGACAGACGGAGAGAGGGAGGGATAGACAGACGGACAGAAAGATGGATAGACAGAGGGTTAGACAGACGGACAGATGGAGGGATAGACAAACAGAGGGTTAGACAGATGGAGGGATAGACAGAAGGAGGACAGAAAGATTGATAGACAGAGGGTTACACAGATGGACAGATGGAGGGATGGACAGACAGAGGGTTAGACAGATGGACAGACAGATGGAGGGATAGACAGACAGAGGGTTAGATAGATGGACAGACAAATGGAGGGATAGACAGATGGGCAAAAAGACAGATAGACAAATAGAGAAATAAACAGATGGAGGGATAGACGGACACAAAAATGGATATACAGATGGAGGGATAGACAGACGAACAGAAAGATGGATAGACAGAGGGATAGACAGATGAAGGGATAGACAGAAGGACGAAAAATGGATAGACAAACATATGTACAGAAAGATGGACAGACAGACAGATGGAGGGAGGGATAAACAGACAAAGATGGATAGACGAAGGGACAGACGGGGACTGAAAGATGGACAGACCGACAGACAGATAGAGGGATAGACAGACGGACAGAAAGACAGACAGACAAATAGAGACATAAACAGATGGAGGGATAGACAGACAGACACAAAAATGGATATACAGATGGAGGGATAGACAGACGAACAGAAAGATGGATAGACAGACAGATGGAGGGATAGACAGACGGACAAAGATGGATAGACGAAGGGATTGACGGAGACCGAAAGATGGACAGACCGACAGACAGATAGAGGGATAGACAGATGGACAGAGATAGACAGACCGACACAAAAATGGATAGACAGATGGAAGGGTAGACAGAAAGACAGACAGAAAGATGGATAGACAGATAGAAGATTAGACAAACATACAGAAAGATGGAAAGACAGACAGACATAGACAGACGGAGGGACAGACAAAAGATTAGACAAACAAACAGAAAGATGGATAGACAGAGACATAGAAAGATGGACGGATACACAGATGGAGGGATAGACATATGGAGGGATAGACAGAAGGACAGAAAGATGGATAGACAGATGGCTAGAAAGAGAGAGATGAAGGGATGGACAAACACAGGATTAGACAGACCAGACGAACAGAAAAATTGATAGAAAAATGGACAAAGATGGAAAGATAGACAGAAAGATGGACAGACGGATGAAGACAGAGGAAGGGATAGACAAACCGACAAAAATGGAAAGACAGACAGAGAGATAGAAAGAAGGAGGACAGAAAGATTGATAGACAGAGGGATAGAAAGACAGACAGATGGAGGGATAGACAAACAGAGGGTTAGACAGATGGACAGACAAATGGAGGGATAGACAGATGGGCAAAAAGACAGAAAAATAGAGAAATAAACAGATGGAGGGATAGACGGACACAAAAATGGATATACAGATGGAGGGATAGACAGACGAACAGAAAGATGGATAGACAGAGGGATAGACAGATGAAGGGATAGACAGAAGGACAGAAAGATGGATAGACAGAGGGATAGACAGATGAAGGGATAGACAGAAGGACAGAAAGATGGATAGACAGATGGCTAGAAAGAGAGAGATGAAGTGATGGACAGACACAGGATTTGACAGACCAGACAAACAGAAAAATTGATAGACAGATGGACAGACGGATGAAGACAGAGGAAGGGATAGACAAACCGACAAAGATGGAAGGACAGACAGAGAGATAGACAGATGGACAGAAAGATGGATAGACAGAAACAGACGAACGGAGACAGATGGAGGCATAGACAGATGGATAGAAAGATGGAGGAACAGACAGACAGATTGACGGATAGTTTGATAGACAGACATATAGATACACAAATAAACAGACAGAGAGACAGACACACAGTCAGTCAGATGAGAGACAGACAGACAGTTGGTAAAACAGGACAGACACAGACAGAGAGAGAGTCAGTGAGTGCAGCATTCACCCAGTCTGGTCGCCGGTGTCCTGCGCTCCTCCTCGGCTGTGTCCTGCAGCTCCTCCTGCTGTCTGCGGGCCTGCTCCAGGATCCTCCGGCTCAGCTTCTCATCCACGAACTCCTGCTGCTCCTCCTGCCCGCGGCCGCGCTGCTTCTGCCGGCCGCTGCAGCGCACTGAGTCCCGCTGGAGGATCTGCTCGGCCAGGGGCACCGCGCCGCCGCTCCAGGCCTTCTTCACCTTCGGCATGATGACGGTTATCAATATTAGTATTATCTGCCTGTCTGTCTGAGGAATTATGAGTGTGAAATCGCGTCTGAACACATGACGCGCCGCGGAGAGCTGCACACACGTGGGTCTGAGAGCAATGGCGCTGAGAGTGTGTGTGTATACATAGATATATGTCTGTAGTGCTGCTCTGAGAGCAGTTGGAGAGATGAGCGCTGTTTTGGAGCGCGCAGAACTACTGATCCCAGAGCGGCGCTGCGTCACACTGTTTACTTCCGCTCGAGGCTCGGCAGATCTCGGCTCTGTTCATTTTTAGCGCGGCTAATGTTTTTATATTACATGAATTTAATGATTGTTAATATTTTTATTTTATCGAATTTAAGTGTTTTACTTTTACTGATTTCGCGTGTTTCACGCAAACTCGAGTGATCCGGAAGTAAATACCCCGGCTTGCGGAAGTTTGTCTCGAAGAAATGGGTGTAACGTGGTGAGAAACACTTTTGTTTATAAAGTATTGTCCTCAAATAATTAATATTTTCAGTTGTGCTTGTTTTGAGTCTCTCTGGTGCTCCTGATGCTCCCGTTCAGCGCTGTTTGAATGCACAGAGAGGCTTTTGCTCCTCATTCATCAGTCTATTTATTGCTTTATACATGTTTACATCACATGTCACTCTTAAAAGTACTTTACAAAACTGTTATTAGTGTTGTGTAGAACACAATGAAGGCCTGTTATTATTATCAGGTGCACGTGTTCATTCAAACTAACATTTAAGATGAAATATAAGGATATTTGACGAGGTTTTCCCGAAGTTTTGTATAAAAAAAAGTGTAAGATTATCAGCTTCATTTACTGCAAACATATAAAAAAACATTTAACAAGTTTTGTAGTTTACAAGCACTCATTTAAGTAGTGTTCAGGGAGTCCGCGGGGTCTTAAAATTTATTAAAGTGCCCATGAAATGAAAACTAGCCTTGTTGTTGTTGTTAGCTCACAGTGCTAGTTCTGTGGTGAATAATTCATCTGTGCATATTATTGAGAAAATGTAATAGTTTGCCCTTCTAATCTTTAATTGAAATCTGAAAATGCTCTTCCTGTTTGTTTTCAGTTAAATTATCAGATGGTGTGTTTTTGAGAGAGGGGTCTGGCTGCAGACCTGGTGCAGATGCAATCTGAGCTGCATCCAATACTTTAAGCTGTGCTTACACTGGGCTTTTCTCACCATAGACTTCATTCATACACGCGAATGCGTCAGACTGGAAACGCAGGGTCATGCGTCAAGTTTCGCAGGTCACTTCAGTGCAAAGTTCAACCTTGGTGAAGTCGGACCTGCGAAATCACATCACTTGACTGCGGGAGACCAATCGAGGATCAACATGAGCTCTCTGGACAGAAATGAAACACATGCAGCAATCACTCGCTTTATTAATGCCTAATCATCTTGTTTAATCCCGCCCCTTTTCGCAGCGCCGTACGGCGGACTTTCGCACACGCAAGCTCTAGTGTGACTGCAGCTTTAATGTGCTCACCTAACCCCACCCCTCAAAGTGACCTCACTAGCTCAATTGTGTCCGACATTGCATCACTAAGAGATGCAATCTCAGCTTGCATCACAAAGGCTGCATCCAGATACTATTGGTTTTAGGCAATGGGCGGGGCTAACATTCATAACCACGCCCCTCCAGCTGTCAGTTTTGACAACAAACAGAAATGCTGAGCTGGGGTCCGTACGTTGCTTAAATGATCTTGATGATTTGGCAGATCCTTGATCTGTTCATCTTGATAACTGATCTCTGGCTAATTTGGTTCCTCAAACAGGTTCGTGAATTAGATTAAAATGTCTGGATGCACATCTGAGATCAGCGTGTGTTGTGAAGGGCAGATTTATCCATCCCCAAAATCATGATCAGCAATGCAGCGATTGGCTGACGGCACAGCAGCGCAATGACATCATCTGATCAATATTCAATTCTCCATGTGAGCAAAATTATTTAAAATTCTTAGTAAACGGTTTGTTAAATATGACACACAATAACTTCCCATGTTTGTTGTGAGCTGCAGGCTTTTTTACACATTCATGTGTCAAGAGTATTCAGCAATTTATTTTATTGTTAGAGCAGATTTTCCTTATTACAGTCGCCATATTAGTATTATAGTAGCCGGTTTCTTAATTGGTATAAAGATTAACAGGATGTTTAAATTAATTTTGCATCACAAAAGCATTTTACTATTGGTAAAGATGTCTGCAACTTTTTTGAAGGCATTAAATCCCAGTCATATTACCGAATACCTGCATGAATGTATTATTCCTTTATAAAAAAAGGTTGCATTAATTTTCTCTTTGATCCACCAGGTGGCAGTATTTGTACTTTTATTTCGGAGTGCAGATTGCATAAGTTTTATTTATATATATTTTAACTTATATATATATATATATAGTTAAAAAATATATTTACTATTTTCCCAAGTGTATATAACTATATAACTACTGTAATAAAAGATCAGAATTCGTTACATAGTTTCAGTATTATCTTTGCTTGAACTGAACCGATCTTATCCTGTTTATATGAAACAAGCTGCTGCTCCCCAGCAGGTTTGAGCTACCAGAACTATTGATAGGACAACAGCTCTCAGATGAGTTTTGAAGAGCGTAACGATCCTGGAACATGTCAAATCGTCAATAACCAAATCCGTTATATAATAACTGAGTAATGCATGTACGAAGAACGGACCCCTGGGGTTTGGTTTTCATAGGTGAATTACTCAAGTATATCAATCTATCTATATAGCTAGATAGACAGACATTACACATATGCACACACAGACTCGCACAATTATTTTTATTATTTATTTTTATTGATGTTTACACTGATCAGAATGATCTTGCTTTAGTAAACTACCATTTTGAAACTGTTTTTAATTGTAAATAAATTAAACGTCTCAAATGTGTGTGTGTTTGTGTCAGTGTTTGTCAGGTGCCAGTGGCCGAGGGTAAGAGCGTCCAGCAGACGGTGGATCTTCTCCACAGGAAGCTGGAGCAGCTGGGAGCCGTAAAACAGGGGAACTTCTGGGTGGACTGTGAGACGTATCACGCTACGGGAAATGCCACCGGTAAAAACACAACTCTTGGATTACTTAAACCAAATTCTGTTACAGATTAAAATAACATGACAAAATGTGTAGTCAGTAATATAAATCAGTTAGATTACACATTTATGGTAATGTATCCGGACTACTTTTTAAATTACATTTAGATTACTTTTGCGCTAACCCTTAGTTGATGTCACACATAGAATGAAAAGAATATAAGAAACGTATATTCACAGCATATTTATTATAAACACACACACACACACACACATATATATATATATATATATATATATATATATATATATATATATATATATATATAAAAATAATGTTCATAATGGAATCATGTAATTAAAAAGTAACTAATTTGATTACGAGTATTTTAAAAAGGAGTTTATTATAATTACAAGATCTTGATTTTTGCAATATGATTACAAGATTGCATAATTTTAGAGATTGCATATAATCGGATATCACATACAAACCGATATTACATATAAAAAAAGTTTACAAATAAACCGATTTTACATACAAACCAATATTACATATGAAACGAGATTGCAAATAAAACAAGATTACATACAAACCGATATTACATAACAAGATTGCATTTAATCCGATATTACATGTAAACAGATATTGCCTATAAACCGATATTACATAGAAAATGAGATTACATAAACACCGATATTGCAATTAAACCGATATCACAAATAAAACAAGATTACATACAGGCCGATATTACAATTAAAACGATATAACATACAAAACGAGATTACTTATAAACCGGTATGACAATTAAACCAATATTACAAATAAAAGAAGATTACATTTAAACCGATAACATACAAAACGAGATTACAATTAAACCAATATTACTAATAAAACAAAATTACATAAACTGAGATTACATTTTAAATATTGCATTTAAAACAAAATTACATATAAAACGAGATAAACCACTATTGCAAATAAAACGAGATTACTTACAAACCGATATTACTTATAAAACAAGATTGCATTTAAACCAATATTAAATATAAAACAAGATTACATTTGAATCGATCTTACATATAAACCGATATTGCCTATAAAACGAGATTACATAGAAAACGAGAGTACACATAAACCGATATTACCTATAAAACGTGATTACCTATAAACCAATTACATATTAACCGATAATACAATTAAACCGATATAACATACAAAATGAGATTACATATAAACCAATATTAGTTATATCGATATTACAATTTAACCAATATTAAATATAAAACAATTACATATAATCCAGATTAAATAATTTTATAGATTGCATATAATCTGATATTACAAATAAAATGAGATCACATATTAACCGTTATTACATATACTCTGATATTACATATAAAACGATATATATATATATATATATAAACGTGTCTGCCACAGGTCAGCCGTCAAAGCTGCTGTACGTGATGCACAACTCAGAGGCGCCACTGAGCTGCATGGCTCTGTTCGAGGGCGGACCGGGACTCAGCGCCGACGCAAACTTCGACGTCCTCATGATCAAACTCAAGAGTCACTTTCAGAATGCAAAAGGACACAAAGTGGAGAGTCGCGGCACTCGCTATCGCTACTGCGACTTTCTGGTGAAGATCGGCACTGTTGCCATGAGCTCCAGCGCACGAGGGATTTCAGTCGAGGTACTAAAATGTGTTCAGTAGCTTAAATACACGTTATGAGTGTTGTATCAGTTTCATACTAACATTTATTATGAATTTACAAGAATTGTACGCAAAAATTACTCATCAAAACTGCAGCAGGTTTATTACTATAGCTATATTAGAGTCCACACTAGTGAGTGATAACTGTTTGTCTCCACATGAGTGAACGATAACTATATTAGCGTCCACGCTAGTTAACGATAACTACAATGATAACTATATTAGTGTCCACACTGGGGAACAATAACTACATTAGTGTCCATACTACCAAACAATAACTATAGCGTTATCTATATTAGCATTTATTCTAGCGAAACATAACTGTAACAATAAATATATTAATGTCCGCACTAGTGAGAAATAACTAAAATGATAACTATATTAGTGTCCAGACTGCCATACAATAACTATAGCGTTAACTAATATTAGCATATACTTTAGCAAACCGTAGCCTTAACAGTAAGGTGAACGCTAATTTATTAATGCTATAGTTATCGTTCACTTGTGTTGACATTAATATAGTTATTGTTCGGTAGTCTGGACTCTAATGTAGCTATTACGGTTATTTTTCATTTGCGTGTCACACTGATATTAGCTATAATTTACTAGTGTGCACATTAATATAATTATCGTTCAATAGTATGATTATAGTAACAAGTAGCAAATATAGCAATTATACTAATCATTTGCCAGTATGGAAACTAAAATAGTTATCGTTCAATAGTTTGAACAAAATAGTTAACGTTTAAATAATTGTTTGCTAGTAAAATGTTAATATATTTATTATGGTCTGCTGGTGTCGACTATTTAGCTTTTAGTATAGTTGTTGTTATCACTCACTAATGTGGACAGTAATATAATTATTGCTAGCTAGTCTGAATGCTAATATAATTTTCATTATACTTATCGCATGCTAGTATGGACACATGTATAGTTACCGTTATAGTTATCGTTCACTAATTTAGTAAGTCTTAAATCGCTATTGGGAATGTACTGCTAACACAATACCGTTAGTGGTAATGAGGACCGCTAACGTAGTTGACAAGATTGTGTGAAAGCTAATAGTTACTGTACATTGTATATGTAATTGATAATAATAAATAATATATCGTAATAAAATATGATGTGTTTGAATAAGTCCCACTGTCTTAACTTAAAATGGAGAAATGTATGCTAATTGCGCTGTGTGTGTGTGCAGGTGGAGTACTGCGCGTGTGTGATTCCCGGCGACTGCTGGAACCTCATGAAGGAATTTATGCAAAGTTTTCTGGGCTCTAACACGCCCGAGCTGCCGACGGTGTTTACGAATAAAGCGGAGGGTCTGTACGTGCCGGTGGACTGCATGGACACCATGAGCCAATACCTGGAGCTCTTCAGTAAAGTGCGCAAACAGCAGGTCCTGCCAGGCAGCGGCGTACGCTAAAACTGAACAAACACTAGCGCACTGTGTGTCCTTATATAGAGAGAACTTTATATAAGCTATGTGATGAGAACATTTCTCATTTATTTCGATTGCAAGTTCTGCGAAATACATCTGTTCATGTGTTGTTTTTTATATAGCCAATTACTTCCTGTGTTTGACCTTGTTTTTTGTAAAATAAACTAATTAATTTTGAATTTTACTCCTTTATTTATTCAAAATCGACCAGTTTTTGAACATTTGTGTTTTCAGGTCCGCAAAACAGTGTTGTGTTGTATTGTAAACTAATTGGCAAGAAAAAAAAAAACATACATCAACGCATGGAAAATAGTGCTGCGCAAAATTTCAACACAATTAAAAATAGCATCCAAAATAGTTTGTTTCGAAGTAATGCAAGTGTGTGTAGTGTGTATTTATTGTGTGTACATAAATACAATCTTGCATGTATATATATATACACACACACACACACATATACCATACCTACATATATAAACACATATACACACATACACATGTATATACAAACATACATACACACATATACACATACACATGTATATACAAACATATATACACACATATACACACACACACACACACACACAGTATTATGTTGAAACACTTATTTTGGATGTGATTACTCTTTGCACAAAGCACTAATAAAAAAAGTTTTTCTACTTTAAAAAATACCCAAAACGAGCACTGCTAATTATAACACTTTTCTTTCTTCATTTGTAATATCTATCTTGTAAACGGGTCAGATCATGCACATTTTGGCCTGTTTTACATGCTATTGTCCAGCAGATGGAGATATTTTTATTGTTTGTGTTTGAAACTAATGGTTTTGTGCATGTCCACTTCTTTCACGGCTAATAAATTATGGATGCTTCTCAAAAGTTAATCCCAAGATGACAAAATAGCTTACTGGTTCCTTTGCTTAAAGTAAACCAGGGTCTTTACGCTTCGGTGTTTGTAAAGGAGCATCACATTTGCATTTAACAAACGCAGAACAGATGAAGGAGCAGATGATTGGCTAGAAAAGACACTGTTTTGAATATGCATGAGCAGAACCCACGGTGGACGAGTTCCAGCTCGCTTTCTGTCTGTCCTATAGAAATCACGAGCCTAAAATTAGAACACACACACACTACACCATTATACAGCACAAACAAGTGGAAAAGTATTCAATCCAATTTAAAGATGACCAGCTGACCAATCATGTAATATTCAGACTGTTAGTATACTTTTGAGACGCTAAACTGCGCAATAATGAATACACAAATGCACAATATGTGCTAATGCAGTGAATATTCCCTCTCCAACACACATTTCGCTCATTATTATTTATTATTGACACTCAATCTAGAGCTCGATTTGATTTGACCGCAGTTGCAGTGCATGCTGGGTAACACCCGGTGCTTTAGTATGCAGGCTACTTTACTATTATAAACGGGAAAGTCCATACTTGAGCAGTTTACACTCTTTTGATCGCTTTTTATTGTAGTTTTTCCATCCGTGGGGAAGTATTAATTGCTTATACACTCGTTTATATAAGTACACTTATATTTTTTAGTAAAACAATCAGAAAAGGCTGTGTTATAATGAAAAGCACAAGGTTAATCTGTCCATCTGACCCCGCCTCTGGAGCTTTAAAACCTGACGGACATCCGCACAGCCGATGAAAAGCCGGCTTATCTCCGTCACTGCGACCAATCAAAACCGGTTCTGCTGGTGATTGACGGCTCCTCGGCCAATCAGAGCGCAGTGATGCCGCGGTGGGCGAGTTCGGTTGCGTTGAAAATGGTGACAGCTCGCGCGTGCGGATGATGGCGGTAAATAACAGCCGAAAGCGAGCGTAAAAAAAGCACGCAAATATAAATCGCGATTAAACTAGGCAAGCGCGTTATACCGGCTGTTACGCGGAGGACTCGCACGGCGGAGCCGTTAAAAAGCCGGTCGGTGGGTTCCGGTGTGAGTTTATTATGTGTCTGCGGCTCTTGCTGGTTTTTGTTCTGCGGGTTTAAAGTAACAGATCTCTCGCGCCGGTATAAACACACACACAGACACATTAACACACCGATCGAGCGCCGGTACCGGAACCTCCCGGATCCGCAGCTGCCGCGGGTTCCGCGTGTCTCCCGGCGGAGCGTCTTTTGTTCTGTGAGTAGCGCTAGCGGTTAGCACACACACACACACACACACACACTCAAACAACAGACAGACACACACTCGTAACTCAGGAACACACACTCATATAAGTGTACACACACTGCATTGTGACACAAACACTCAAGACTCTGCATATACACACACAAAGAACTCTTGCTTGACTACAAGAACACACTACAATACACACATCATGTATATGTTCAGTATATAACATTTAATTCACACGTAGGGTGCATTTACACTAGTGCGTTTCAGAATCCCGTCCACACTGGCATGTTCAGATGATACTGGTAAAACACATCATGTTAGCATTCACACACAATAGGCAAGTGTGTATCTTGTTGTTGTCTAATGGTTACATATATTAGTCATGACCAGAGCTTGACGAATCAGGGATTCAATAGTCCAGAAGAATCAATCAGAGCACAATTGTGGATAGCCACGCCTCCAATTCAAGTCTACGAATTGATGCGTCTAAAACACTTTAACACGAAGACGCTGGAGTGACCTGAAGTCTGTATCTAGTCGACTACAAGACATGCATACAACGACATTTTTTAATGTCTACTGGCTGCGTATTTTAGTCATGATTGGAGCTTGACGAATTGAAGACGCTACATTCCTGAAGAACCAATCAGAGTGGTTAGCCACGCCCCTAATTTAAAAGTGCGATTTTATGAGTCTACACTAAAACGCAAACGCTTTTTCAGACTAAACGAAGTCTCAAGTGTTTTCACAATGAAGATGGCGGAGTTGCGTGAACGCAAGTGGCGTTTTTGTTGTCTGCTTGTTTATTAGTTAAATGACTGGAGGGAAAGATGCGCAGTAGTCTAGAAGAACCAATCAGAGCATGGTTATGGATAGCCACGCCTCCAGTTTAAAAATCTACGATCTACACTAAAACGTAACCACTTTTTCAGACTAAATGTTTTCAGTATTCAGTAAACGAAGATGTCGCAGTAGTGTGGACGCCAGGCGTGACTGTTATATAGCAAATTTTTTTAAACGAAAGCACACTAATGTAATCGTAGGCTCAGAATCAGCTCATTATACTCTATAATGAAAAACGTGATCACGATACTAGTATACGCAGTTTCCTTATCGCAGAAAGGTCCAGTAAGTTACATGCCAATCATTAGGTCGTTTATTCAGTTTTGACCAATTAGATGGAGACTTAATATCTTTATCCCCGCCTCCCCTGGAGGTGCTGATCTGTTATTGGCTTAAGCACCCAAAAGGCGAATGTAGAGCTGAAAAATAATAGCTAATCAGAGTCAGAATTTCCGTTTACGGGTTTTCATAGGGTTTATGAAATGCCTAAATATTTGCACAGACGTCATTGTTTGATATTATTTTTAATTTGACGTTGAGATCAGAAAAATGTTTAGCTTATAAAAAGTTTAAATAAAAATAGTTTCTCTAGGGAAATGGTAAATATCGTTTTTACTATGTCGTTTATTTTCCCAGTGTCATGCAGAAGATCGGACCATTAAAAGCCTGTGTGAATAATGTGTTTTTCGTTTGCAGTGTTTGATCCGCACGATGACGACCTATATTCTGAATAGCAGCAGGACGCGTCCGCTCTGATGCTACAACGCACCATTTCTCACAGTAAGTTCTTCAACCAATAATATCCAGCCGCAGACCTGCATGTTTCAGGCCACACTGGATTCAGACCACTAGATCAAAGGTCTTCAAGTAGGAGCGACTGACACCGCGAGTATGTTAATGAGTGTTACAGCTACGGCTAATGAGAATGTACACGTGTCATTTCTGTGATGCACTACAGCAATGAATACTGTTTATTCATTCATTATTCATAACGGTAAGGGGTAGGTGTAGGGTTGAGGTGGGTGCAGGTCCGGCGCGTCCATAGAGGTGACCTAGGCAGTCGCCTAGGGCAGCAGAATAGAGAGGGCAGCGTCCGCAACACTACCCTCACCACCCGTGCCCTCAGTTATATCCGCGTCTGGGGCAGCAGAATAGAGAGGCTGGCGTCCGCGAGACTACCCTCACCACCCGTGCCCTCAGTTATATCCGCGTCTGGGGTGGCAGAATAGAGAGGCCGGCGTGCGCGACACTACCCTCACCACCCGTGCCCTCAGTTATATCCGCGTCTAGGGGGGCAGAATAGAGAGGCCGGCGTCCGCGACACTACCCTCACCACCCGTGCCCTCAGTTATATCCGCGTCTGGGGTGGCAGAATAGAGAGGCCGGCGTGCGCGACACTACCCTCACCACCCGTGCCCTCAGTTATATCCGCGTCTAGGGGGGCAGAATAGAGAGGCCGGCGTCTGCGACACTACCCTCACCACCAATGCCCTCAGTTATATCCGCGTGTAGGGCGGCAGAATAGAGAGGGCAGCATCCGCGGAGTGACCGTCCTTTTCCTAGAGTGGCAGTTCAGCTTGCTCTGGCCCTGGGTGGGTGTAGACGTTAATAAAACACAAGAGGTCCTGTTCACACCAAGGATAACGATAAAGATGTTGTAAAAATTGTAGCGGTGTAGAAGGATGTTAATAATAGTAAAAAAGACTAAATATACCTAGGTGGCCCGACCAAGTAAAGTATTTATGTGTTGGAAGCATTGTGTAGACGTTATGTGGACGATATTTGGGATAGCTCATTAATTGACGTGTCATAGCTCATCACCATGAAATGTACCAGATTTTAAACTCTGTTTTAGGTTCAAAATGCGCCACTTTAGCCGGAGGCTCCCAACGAAACTGAAAGATTTCTGGCTACGTTGACGCTGTGAACTTGTCCTAAGGCATTGGTTTATGATTGGTTGTAGACGCAAACACAATAGGTCGAACAAGCATGAGTTAAATATCATAATCTACAGTCAAAAATGTTTTATTATATTGATCAAAATGAAAACACAATCTCAGCATCCAAAACAGGCCGCTCCGCTTTCGGCAGAGCTTGTCGCTAGCTCCTAATGAAAATTGCTACGTTGACGCTCCCACCGGTGTTAACGCACAATAGGGTGTCGCTTTAGGATTGGGGTGGGTGCAGACAGAACAAACGCAAACTAAATATCTCAAATCTCCGTCAATGTTGTGATTCATTATATTTATAAAAATGAACAAAGAAATCTAATACTATATTTGTCTTATTCAGTGTATCGTTATTAAATACTGTACGTCATGTAGATGTTAGTTAATTAAACAATACAAAACCGTGACTGATCTTTCATTACGCATATATTGCTCTGGATCTCATGGCCTGAAAATAAACATGTGACGCATTTCCCTTCTATTCGTTACTTTATCTAAACATGACTTTGTTCCTTAGGATGAGCGAGGCCATGGCGTGTGGTTCCTGACTGCGACTGCACATGCGTGTTGGGAGGACCCATGGATCGCTGTAAGCACGTGGTGCGGTTCCGCCTGGGCCACGGCCACTCCATCCTCAACCCGCAGATGTGGCGCTGCGTGGACTGCGATACCACCGAGTCCGTGTGGGCCTGCCTGAAGTGCACGCACGTAGCCTGCGGACGCTACATGGAGGAGCACTCACGGAGCCACTACCAGCAGACTCAGCATCCGCTAGCCATGGATGTACGCGAGCTGGATGTCTTCTGCTTTGCGTGCGGAGATTACGTGTTGAACGATAACGTGGAGGGCGATCTCAAGCTCCTGCGGGGGGCGCTGTCCACCGTCCGCAGCCCTGGCCAGCGTTCCCTGCGTTCGTCAGTGACGGATGGCGGATTGAGAGTGTGTGAGATTACGCGAGACGGCGCGATGCAGACGGCGTTATGGCACCGGCGGAAAACTCTTCTCAAAAGCGCACTTCGCTACTGGATTAGCCGGCAACAGGAAGAGCACAGGAAGCGCGAGGAAAAACAAGAACAGGAGCGAGAGGAAAAACGACGCCAGCGTAAAGAAGTCAAAAAAAGACTGCTAGGAGAATTAGCCAATGTGCCGCCTAGAAAAAGTGCGCGATTGCTAACCCAGGCTCCGCGTCCAACAATCGCGCTAATACCACGGAAGTTCCGCGACCCTCCAGAGCGACTTCCTGCAGCGCCCAAACAGTTATTGACGCTATCTGCAAAGACTCTTTCGCGGAAACCGCTCCGCCGTACTGCACGCCTGCACCGCTATCATGCTTCACAATCTGCGCGACGCAGGAAACTAGCGCCCGGAGTTACAGGACTGCGCAATCTCGGGAATACATGCTACATGAACTCCATCCTACAGGTTAGCCTTCTGCCAGTATCAATTTTCTTGTAATTTCATTGATGCTAATGCTTTTATCGTGATATACGGTATTTTCACGATATTGACGTATTTTGTATGTACGTTCAGAGTATTTAAAACAAATTAAATTACACTACTTTAAAATCTCATTAGTAAACTTTAGCCAATACACTAAAACCAACAGTAAGAAATAGCCATATTATAGTTGTTAAATTTAATTTTTTTTTATTAGAACTGAATTTTAATAACTCAATTTGATAAAATGATTACGACTTCAGATTTTCATGCATTATTAGGCGAATTAAATTGACTTTAAAATTAATTGATGTTTACAAATGGAGCCGTACTGTACAGTTAACGAACGAAAGGCCTATAAATAAACAATTTTCAATGTCGTAGACCAAATTAACACATGACAATATTTGAAAATACTTAAGTCTTAAGCCTTTGCTGCTGTCATGAACAACCATTGCAGATACAACAATCTAAATATTCAGCAACACTGTAGTTTAGGTCACAATTCATGCTAATAACGGTCAGTGTTGGGGAGGTCACTTTGCAAATTTAATAGATTACAGATGACAAATTCCCCTATTTAAAATGTAATCAGTGTATCTTTTCAATAATTTTATAAAAGTAAAGTAACTGATTACATCTGATTACTGTGATTACTTAAGTTTCTAATGGATATTTTCAGCTAAATTTACTAAATTTAAATCAACTAAATTCTACCAAGCAGGTGTGACCATACAGTAACTCTTCTTACTGTTAGCATTTCTAAATCTTTCATCTGAATTAAGATTATATTAATTTAATTTTAAAGTAGAGCCACCACAAAACCAGACCCTATAACAAAAACATGTTTACTGTTGTTACAAACTAAATGTTAGTGAGTTGTGCAGAGGGGATTTATCTGGCATTTACAATAAAAAAAAGTAAAATCGAAGGTAATTTTGCAATTTTCATTTTTAAACCGAAGCAACTTAAATCCAAATCAATCATATCTTACTGATCAATAAAACTGCCAATGACACGAGGCATAATAGTTCAGTTCCGTTATTTATAATAAAATTATTTATAAATTTCCGTTATTTTTAATATGCTGTATTAAACAAACTAATTATGGTAAACAACAGCAAACACAAATCCAATAAAACCAGGCGTTACACATTTAAAATACTATAGTAATGTATAGTAAAGGGAAATATTTAGGAATGAGCAATATATTGTGTACATTTCCAACTCTTCATTATGAATTACACTACATAATGTAGTATCATTAGTAACTCATGAACTAATAGTAATTACCATAGTATTCTTTAGCCTTTACTACAGTAAACTAAATATATAGTTTATTAACGATGTCAGTTGATGGAGAAAGTAAAAAGCACAGCAGTGTTTGGATGCGCTGTGTTTGAGGTCATTACAGTGGATTCACATGGGACTTCAGCGTCAACGCTTGGCAGAGGGCGTGTCTTAAGTTGGGGTTGACGCCATCGTCATGGCAGCATCTGCCAATAAAATTAGTCCGCAATCGGCAACCGTCTGAGCTGGTGTATTTGCATAGAGCGATCTGATTGGCTGACGCTTCCATCGGTGGCTGAAAAGTTAAGAAAGTCCCAACTTCTGCAGCGAACAACGGCTCTGAAGCGGCGCCGACGAATCCACAATGCAGTTCGGCAGTGCCTGAGGTCACCCATTCAAAGTGAATGCGAAGCGTTGACGCCCCGTGTGAATGGGGCTGTTATTACTGTAATGTGTATATTCCAAACAAAGTGTGAAGCCGATTGGTTAGTTCTACTCTCATGAATCGCGGTGCGCTCGCGGCATTCGGAAAAGTTCAGATGTTTTTAACTAAGTTGCGTGCCTCCATTGACAAACGTACACCCTCAGCTTATTACTCTTGCCGCTCGTTCAGCATCCACATTCTAAGTTAACTATAGCGCGTCATAGCCAAACTACATACTGAATCTTTATTTATTTTTATTAATTTTTCAAATCGAGTGTCAATGGTGTTCGGTCAGTAAATATTGATACCAATTTTAAACGGCCAGCCCTAGCGCAAGTTACATTCTTGTGCAACAGAATCATGATGTTTTACAGCCTTTACGAGTTATCAACGGAGCATGGTTAATAGTGAAATTAGTTCATCACTGCATCCCTAATCCCTACCAATGACATCAATATTATGCATGTTGATATCTTGGATTATTCAATATGGCCGTATACAGTGAAAATCAAGTTATTCGCCCTCCTCTGAAATTAATTATGTTTTTGCCCGAACACATTTGTTAAAAACATAATAGCTTTAATAACTAATCTCGAAAAACTAGCTTATTTTGTCTTCGCCATGATGACAGTACATAATATTTTTTAAGATACTAGTATTCATCTTAGTGCAATGAAAGGCTTAACTAGGTTAACTAGATGTTGGATAACAGTGGTTTGTTCTGTAATGCTCAATACACATGGGGCTTCAGCGTTAAAGCTGTGGTCACACTAGAGTTTGTACGTGCGAAATTCTGTCGTACAGCGCTGCGAAAAGGGGCGGGATTAAATGAGATGATTAGACATTAATATAAAAGCGAGCGATTGCTCCATGGTTTAAATTTCTGTCCAGAGAGGTCATGTTAATCCTCGATTGGTCTCACGCAGTCAAGTGATGCGAAACGTAACACTTGACCCTGTGTTTCCGGTCTGATGCATTCGCGTGGGTATGAATGGAAGTCTACGGGAGGAAAAGCCCAGTGTGACCGCAGCTTAATGCTTCACAGAGGGCGTGTCTGAAGTTGGGGTTGACTCGATCGACATCGCAGCGTCAGCCAATGAAATAAGTCCGCAATCGGCTACATTCTGAGCTGGAGTATTTGCATAAAGGGATTTGATTGGCTGATTGGTGCTTAAAGTTGAGAAATTCCCAACTTCTGCAGTGAACAACGTTGCTGAAGGGTTGTTGGTAGATCGGATACATTTGCAGCCGGAAGTTAACGAGAATTATTTATATTATTTATTAAATTTCCCATTAATTGTATTTTATTAACGTCTACCCCAACCCTAAACTCATCCGTCACAGTGCTGTAAAAATATTCATTATTGTTATACAGTATCATGATAAATGCGACTATATTGATGTGAATAGCGCACTTTTGGCTGGTCCTGTATCCGATCTAGACTTTACCCCGCTGAAGCAGCGCATTCAAAGTGAATGATCAGCGCTGACGCTGATGCCCTGTGTGAACGGGGCATAAGGGGGCTAATAATATTGACCTATAAAAATAAAACTACTTTTTTCCAGCTAAAATTAAACAAATAAATTCCGATAAATACGATAAAATACAGGTGAACATGTCCTTAATCTGTCAAACCTGATTTGAGAAATATGCACAGGAGGGTAATAGTTGTGTGGTCTTCAGGTGCTCAGCCACTTGCAGAAGTTCCGGGAGTGTTTCCTGACGCTGGACCTGTGCGAGACGGAGGAGCTTCTGGCTAAAAGCAACCACCCTCAGGTGGGGGCTCTGTCTGCGGGTGGCGGCGGCGGCGGCGGCGGTGTCCCATCCAGCCTGCAGTCAGCGGAGCAGAAGGAGCCGCGCTCCTCATCCCGCCAGCAGGTGTCGCTGTGCCACGAGCTGCACACGCTCTTCAGGGTGATGTGGTCGGGCCGCTGGTCGCTGGTGTCGCCCTTCGCCATGCTGCACTCCGTCTGGAACCTGATCCCTGCTTTTCGCGGGTACGACCAGCAGGACGCGCAGGAGTTCCTGTGCGAGCTCCTGGATAAAGTGCAGCAGGAACTGGAGTCGGACGCACCCCGCAAACACTTCCTGATCCCCATCACACAGCGCAAACTCTCCAAACAGGTCCTCAAAGTGCTCAACACCATCTTCCACGGACAGCTGCTCAGCCAGGTGATTGCTTTGATGTATCAATAGGAAGTTTAATTAGGCAGTGAGGTGGCGCAGTGGGTAGCACAATCCCCTCACAGCATGAAGGTTGCTGGTTCGAGTCCCAGCTGGGTCAGTTGGTGTTTCTGTGTGGAGTTTGCATGTTCTCCCCGTGTTGGTGTGGGTTTCCTCCAGGTGCTCCGGTTTCCCCCACAGTCCAAACACATGCGCTATAGAGGAACTGATCAACTACACTGGCCGTAGTGTATGAGTGTGTGTGTGAACGGGTGTGTATGGGTGTTTCCCAGTGCTGGGTTGTGGCTGGATAGGCATCCACTGTGTATAACATATGCTGGAATAGTTGGCGGTTCATTGCACTGTGGTGACCCCTGATTAATAGGGACTTAGCTGAAGGAGAATGAATGAACATCTCTGGGATGTGGATATTGCATATACTGTTGTCATTATAGAGCATAGATCTCGAACTGGATTCCTGGAGGGCCGCAGCTCTGCAGTTTTGCTCCAACCCTGATCAAAGACAGCTGATCAACTAATCAAAGTGTTCAAGACTCTTTTCAACACCTCGATTATTTGCATCAGCTGTGTTTGATTAGGGTGGAGCAGAACTGAGCAGAGCTGCGGCCCTCCAGGAATCCAGATCGAGACCTGTGCTGTAGATGCTGTTAAACTGGCTCTGCTGCCCCCGCAGGTGACGTGTCTGTCCTGCAAGCGGAAGTCCAACACAGTGGAGCCGTTCTGGGATTTGTCTCTCGAGTTCCCAGAGCGGTACCACCGCATGGAGAAGCCCAGCGCCGCCGCCTGCCAGAGGAGCTGCTCGCTGTCCGAGATGCTGGCCAAGTTCACGGAGACCGAAGCTCTGGAGGGCTGCATTTACGCCTGTAACTTCTGCAACAGTGAGCGCCGTCCACCGTACACACTGTGTACTCTTGTTTCGTAAACGAGACCCGGAGATTGCATGCCTATGTTTTGAATTATTCGCCCTCCTGTATATTTTTCCCTCAATTTCTGTTTAACACAGAGCAGATTGTTTAACAATTACAACAGTGTTAATAACTCATCTCTAATAACTGATTTATTTCCTCTTCATCATGATGACAGCACATAATATTAGACTAGATATTCTTCAAGACACTAGTGTTCAGCTTACAGTGACATGTAAAGGCTTCACTAGGGTAATTAGGGTAAAGTTAGGGTAATTAGGCAAGTCATTGTATAACAGTGGTTTGTTCTGGAGACAATCCAACACTAATATTGCTGAAGGGGAGAATAATATTGAGCTTAACATGACTTTAACACTATTAAACACTGCTTTTACTCTTATTCTAGAGTAGGGCTGTGCAATTAATTGAAAATCCGATTTCGATTTTGGCTTTTAACGATTAAGAAAAACCATTAATCGAGATAAACGATTATTCCATTATTTACCGCCCCCTGTCTAGTTCTCACTTGTTGCTCTTAAAAGCGCGAAAGACCGCATGCTTATGTGTGTGCGGCGCGCAGACAGTCAGAAGCATGCGGTCTGCACTTGGTCTCATTCGCACATTGTGACGAGCAGAGAGCACACACATCTAAAGTCATTAACGTGAGCGCTTTAATGTTCAAACAGGTGTCAAAACGCGGTGTTTAGTGATTATTCATATTCACCCTCATGTTGTAATAAACAAACGAAAGCGAAACCATTAAAGTGACAGAGCACAGTATCTGCCGCCTGTTTTATCATGATTAATAAAACGAGAAAATCCCTCTCTGCTCTTGACTGAAGACTCTTGTAGCTGAAGTGTTTTTCTTACGGTGAAGATGCTAAAAGCACAGCTTGTTTCATATTTTTATTCTATTGTATTTATTTCTCTTTGCAGGGTGGAAAATAATATATGCAGTTGAAGTCAGAATTATTAGCCCTTCTGAATATTAGCAATCTTTCCCCCCAATTTCCCTTTAATGGAAAGAAGATTTCTGAACATTATAGTTTTAATCATTCATTTCTAATAACAGATTAATTTTATCTTCGCTATGATGACAGCGCATACTATTTTAGTAGATATTTTCTTAAATACAAACATTCAAATTCAAAGTGTGATTTAAAAGCTTAATTAGGCAAGTCATTATATAATAGTAGTTTGTTCTGCCTATATTGCCTAAAGGGGCGAATAATATTGACCTTAAGAGGTTTCAAAATATTTAAATCTGCTTTTATTCTAGCCAAAACAAAACAAGCCTTTCTCCAGAAGAAAAACATTAGAGGAAATACTGCTATTCCTTGCTCTGTTAAACATCATTTGGGAAATATTTATTTTTAAAAAAAAATTCTCAGGAGTGCTAATAATTTTGACTTCAACTAATAATCGTTTGGAATAATCGTGATTACAATTATGACAAAATAATCGTAGTAGTAGACAAATCTTTTTATTGAACTTTTAACAGAGCAACTCAAACATATACAAGAACAAGGTACATGAAAAAAGGAAACGAATACAAGGTGAAATAATAATAATTAAAAAGAAAAAGGTAAAAGGTACAAAAATAATAATAATAAATAAATTAATTAAATAAATAAATAAATTCAAATAAATAAATAAATAAAAGTTGGTGGGGGTGGGGGGCTTACATTTCAAGTATTTGGGATAAATCTGTTCTCAAAATATGACAGGAAGGGTCTCCAAACTTTGAAGAATCTATTATTTGAGCCCTGGGTGCTATATTTGAGTTTTTCAAGCTTTAGATACGCCATGACATTTTCTACCCATTTAGTATGTGTTGGTGGTTTAGTTGACTTCCACTGCAAAAGAATAAGTCTTCGGGCCAGTAGAGAACGCTAGTGCATTTAATTGACCTGCTGGTAATGTAAGATTGTCAGGTGTCTCACCAAATATTGCCATTACTGGATCTGGTAGTATCTCCTTTTCACATATATAAGAGAAAGTCTCAAACACCGCAGTCCAAAATGGTCTTAGGGATGGACATGTCCAGAACATATGACCTAAGGTGGCCTCGTCTCTGTGGAACCTAGAGCATGTTGGGTCAATTTCTGAAAATATTCTGGACAATTTGCTTTTAGAAAAGTGCAGCCTATGAATTATCTTAAATTGTAATAAACCGTGTTTGACACAAATAAAATAATTGTGATTATGATTTTTACCATAATTCTAGAGACTCCCTGTGAATCATTCCTAAACACAGTCAAGGCGTTTCTCTAATCTCCGGTTGTGTGTTTTCAGGAAAGCGGCGTAAATCGTCCCACAAGCCGCTGTCACTGTCAGAGGCCTGCAAGCAGCTGCTGATCTGCAGATTACCTCAGGTGCTGCGGCTACACCTCAAACGCTTCCGGTCAGTGCTGTGTGTGTGTGTGTGTGTGTGTTCTGCTTGTGGTCAGTGTGCTCGCACTGACCCTCCACCGGGTGTGTTTGTGTGTGCGCAGGTGGTCGGGCAGGAACCACAGGGAGAAGATCGGTGTGCACGTGGCGTTTGATCAGGTGTTGAACATCCAGCCGTACTGCAGCTGCTCAGACGCCGCCGCGAGAGAGGCCTACACATACGACCTGTCTGCGGTCGTGATGCATCATGGGAAGGGCTTTGGCTCAGGGCACTACACAGCCTACTGCTACAACACTGAAGGAGGTGAGTGAGGAGCGCACTCGCCATATGGAGTCAACACGGGGCTGCGTCTCAATCAGCACGCTGTCTCAATCACAAAATTCTTCTGGTGAACTGAAACGTTTACAGCTTGAAATGTCCCACAATGCACTGTGAAAATCAGGGTTAATCAATACGCACTACTATACGTGCCCTTAATTGAAGTTCAGATCCACAAAATATGAATCATATGAATCATGACCCAAATCATCAAACATAACGACAAACGAGAGACGTTTTTCTAAAAAGAATCTATGAACGAACATCGCTATAGAGGTTAGGAACAGTCTAGCAAACATTTATAATGTTTAATGGTTGCAGTGTTGCTGGAGTATGAATCAAATCACGTTATTCAGCAATACAAAACTTAAATCACAAAGTCGCTTTGGATAAAAGCGTCTGCTAAATGACTAAATGTAAATGTAAATATATTAACATATGAAGATTAATGCAATTAATTAAATTAATATTAATATACGAGTGTACATGACCTACTTATTGAGCTATACGAGTTACATGTGTTCTATATTAGGGCTGGGCGATTAAAAACAGTATCGGTATTTATTGACCGAACACAATTTTCAATAACGATAAATTTTTTTATTTTATTTAAAAAAAAATGTATTTATTTTTTTTAAGTTTTGGTATGAGGCGCATTAGTTTTATTAAAATGCGTCTCAATGCTTTCGAAATAGCTCAAATATTACATATAATATTTAATATATATTTAAATGCAATATTGCATAACCTAAGATGTGACTATTGCAGTTTGCGATATCGATGCTGAAACTAATAAGTTTATTTGCAAGATTTTCAATGTTGAGTTTATATGTAATATTTGTGGAATAATTTCAAAAAATTGAGTTTGTTTCAGCAGCAATATTGCAAACTGCAATAATCTCATGTTTTCGAAATTATGGCTCAAATATATTCCCAACATATAAACGCAGTATTGCATAACCTAAGATGTGACTATTGCAGTTTGCGATATCAATGCTGAAACGAATAAGTTGCATTGCAAGATACGCAATTTTGTTTATATGAGCCATAATTTCGGAAAAAATAAGATTATCGATTCAGCAGCAATAATTGCAAACTGCAATAATCTTATGTTTTTTAAATTATGGCTCAAATATTACATATATATTCAAATATTTAAACGCAATATTGCATAACCTAAGATGTGACTATTGCAGTTTGCGATATCGATGCTGAAACTAATAAGTCTATTTGCAAGGTACGCAAAGTTGAGTTTATATGTAATATTTGTGGAGGAATAAAAAAAAAAAGATTATAATTTCAGCAGCAATGATGCAATAATCTCATGTTTTCAAAATTATGGCTCAAATACAATCCCAATATATAAACTCAACATTACATAATTTACGATGTGACTATTGCAGTTTGCGATATAGATGCTGAAATGAGTAAGTCGCATTGCAAGACGCGCAATGTTGATTTATGTAATATTTGCGGAATCATTTCGAAAACATGATTATCGTTTCAGCAGCATTATCACAAACTGCAATAATATCATGATTTCGAAGTTATAGCTAAAATACAATCCCAACATATAAACATTACATAATTTACAATGTGACTATTTTAGTTTTAGACTATTTGACTATTGCAGTTTGCAATATCGATGCTGAAACGAATAAGACACATTGCAAGATGCACAATCTTGTTTATATATATATATATATATATATATATATATATATATATATATATATATATATATATATATAAAATGAGCCATAATTTCTAAAAAAAAAAACAAGATTATTGTTTCAGCAGCAATATTGCAAACTGCTGTTTTCGAAATTATGGCTCAAATATATTACCAACATATAAACGTAATATTGCTTAACCTAAGATGTGACTACTGCAGTTTGCGATATTAATGTTAAAAAGAATGTATTGCAAGATACGGAAGTTGTTTATATGACCCATAATTTCGGAAAAAACAAGATTATAGTTTTAGCAGCAATAATTGCAAACTGCAATAATCTCATGTTTTTGAAATTACGGCTCAAATATTACATTTAATATTAATTTATATATTTAAATATTTAAATGCAATATTTCAAAACCTAAAATGTGACTACTGCAGTTTGCGATTTCGATGCTGAAACGAATAAGTTGCATTGCAAGATACGAAATGTTGAGTTTATATGTAATATCTGCGGAATAACTTCCAAAACATGAGATTATCGTTTTAGCATCGATATCGCAAACTGCAATCACGTTTTCAAATTATGACTTAAATACAATCCCAACATATAAACTCAATATTACAAAACCTACGATGTAACTATTGTAGTTTGGGATATTAATGCTGCTACGATAGTCACGTCACAGAATACGCAATGTTGAGTTTATATGTAATATTTTATCCATAATTTCGAAAACATGATTAACGTTTCGGCCACAACATCACAAACTGCAATAATTAATTTCGAAATTATGGCTGAAATATATTGACAACATATAAACTCAACATTAAATAACCTATGATGTAACTATTGCAGTTTGCAATATCGATGCTAAAACGATAATCTCACGTTTTTCGAAATTATGCTTTCTTGCTTAATCACATCTGCAATGTAGAGTTTAAATGTTGGGATTATATCCGAGCAAGATGGCATAATTTCGAAAACATGAGATAATAACATTTCAGCTTTGATATTATGGTTATAGTTATAGGTTATGCATTATTTAATTGTATAATATGTATATATTAATAATTTATGATATCAATGCTGAAATGTTAATCTCATGTTTTCTAAAATATGGCTCAATATTATCCCAACATATAAACTAAATAGACGTGATATGTATATATATATATATATATATATATATATATATATATATATATATATATATATGTATATATACACATATGAACATAAACAACACAAACTCAACATTACATAACTTAATGTGACTATTGCAGTTTGCGATATCGACGCTGAAACGATAATGTCATGTTTTAGAAATTAGACTTTAAATATTTTAAAGTTTTAGATTGTTATCTTAATATTATCATCATCGAATTTTATCTTATGTATTATTTATTGCTGTTGATGCTTTTAATTTTTAAAATATTTTTAGAATTATAGATACAGTTTTTTATTTTGCCATGACCATAGACAGAGAAGCTGATTTGGCAATAAAACTAAAACTGACACTATATATTGTGCAGCTCTAGTGAACTGTAATCAATCCAATTCTATGCCAGTTAACAATTTCGTTGTTGTGTGTGTGTGTGTGTGTGTGTGTGTGTGTGTGTGTGTGTGTGTTTCAGGCTTCTGGGTTCACTGTAATGACTCTGAGATGAACGTGTGCAGCGTGGAGGAGGTGTGCAGCACTCAGGCCTACATCCTCTTCTACACACAGCGCTCCTCCTAGAGCTCTCAATCTCTCTTGCTGCATCCCAGTTCTCACACTCGCACTACGTCCTAAAAGTTTGCTGTTTTGTGAAGAGAAAGTACATACTCTTCGGTGTGTAACAGAAGAGCTTTGGGTCAAACTACTTCCTCATTAGCGGAGCGTTCTGTTGCTTGGTTATGAGACCTGATGATCATCTCGACACCTCATCCACGGTTTCTGTCATTTAATTATTTACAGTTTGTAGATTCAGCAGCAGGTTAATCTGGCATTAGAGAGTCTTTCCTGCAGAGAAATCTCCTCAGGTGTCACATATATACACATTCAGGAGTGAAGAGCCCCTTTCACACAGTGATACCGCTAAATATCTGTAAAATTACCGGAACGACTTTACCGGTAAGTTAAAAAAGCACTGTAATGAAGGCAGGGATATTCTGGAATTTTTCCCGGAAAGACCGTTCACGCATCCATTCCAATATACCGGTAAATTCTGACATCATTAACCGGAAATGAGCTCTAAAACGGTTTCTCGACTAACATCTAGCAGCTAAACGTGTCTGGAAAAATATACAAAGGTTTTTATTTTTATAAACCGCGCGGACGCGAATGCATCTGACTGTTCTGATTGGCTAAAGCAGACATCTCACGTCAGCACGTTGTAAGCGTGCATGGCAATCTTCCTTCTGCATTCACACAGTGCAGCATTTCAGCAAATCACCGGTAATGTTACAACTTCTCTTCTCGGAAAATAGCCAGAACGAATTTACCGGTATTTTCAGAATATTTCCAGAAAGGTCTGTGTGTGTGAAAGGGGCTAATGTCCAAGCTAGGGATGCTCATTTCGGTTTATTTTGACAACCGTCGCTCTTTAACTGAATATTAATGGTTAACTGTTCAGATTAATATTAAATAATAATTTATTAAAAAAATAATAAGTAACGTGTCGATTTTGTGTGATATTAAATATTGCAATTGCAAATACTGATTTATTTCATAAGCATACATAAAACATCTTCACGCTGTCAATGTTGGTATAGTTTTAATATTGAATAATATTGTGATAGTCTAGATTTGTAAAGCCATACAGCTCTGAATAACTTGAAACCGTGACCGCTAGTCTCTCCTAAAGATAAAGTTCTCCGTAGTCGTCTTGACAACACAAACACTGCGGTCACCTCAATGGAAACCCCGCATCTGCTTTCACTTGATTGTCGATGGCGCATGACGCCAACGACAAAACCCAGAGGCACGTGTAAGCAGCGCAAAACACTTGCGGCGTTACTAAACCATTCAACACGAAAAACGCGTTCGCTGATCGACCACTCATGCAGCCAAACTTAACATTTTCAAAATAAAATTTAATCATTTAACTGATATCATTAAATCAATTAAAAACGGTTAATCGGTTATTTTGAGCATCCCTAGTCCAAACACGTCTTTATAGAAGCTCACATTGTTGCTGCAGATTATATATATATATATATATATATATATATATATATACAGAAAACCTGATTCAAATATGTTCCAGTTGGCTAGATATTAAATAAGTCAAACATCTTTACCGTAACCTCTTTAGTTGACGTTTAGTCTCAGCACGTCCACCATTTTTGTAGTTTTTTTATTTTTTGGCTGTGAAGGTCATCAGTGCACTGAACTAACAGCTTGTGAGTGTAACCACAGATACAGGAACACTTGAGAGTTTTAAAACCTCAATTCATCAGCGGATCGCTCGTATGTGAGCTTATAGACAAACCAGCTAATCTGTGGTAAAGCTCAGCGGTGAGTTCGGTGAACTGATGTCCTTCACAGCCAATCAGAGTCATTTCTGTGGAGCATGTGAACACTATGGCGAGTCGACGGTGCTTAAGTACACGCTCAAATGTTCGCAGGAAATGGACGTTTTTAAATCTCAGTATCGATTGGTACCGAATTCCAGTATCGTGACAACACTAATGCATATTGATATTCATGTGGCATGGAAGATGCAATATTGAGGTTGTAACGTTTAAGTCATAATTTCGAAAACATGAGATCGTTTCATCATCGATATTAATTAAGTCATTCAAACATCTTTACAGAAGCATCCAATTTGACGGTTAGTCTCCGCACGTCCCCCATTTTTGTAGTTTTTTACACTTTTTACCCAAGTTTGTAGTTCTAATCGAATTCAAGTCCAACACGCGGTGTATTGTGGGTAATATTAGCGGTTTGAGTATCTACACTTCAAATATTTACCAGAAATAGAGCATCCTTTGTCAAACCCAGTTTAACATGCTACAGTTTGGGACGTGCCAATTCTATTCTCGAATACTATTTAGGACGGGTAGTACGCGAATTGGGATGCAGCATCTCTCTCTCTCTCTCTCTCTGAGCCTCAGAGACGCAGCGCCCTCTGCTGGCACACTTCAGGGCATTCAGGACCAAACACACACACACACACACACACCTGCAGGTCCAGAAGAGCAGGAACACACACTGCTGAGAGACCGACAGCTGGCCAGAGAGAAACGCTACAGCAATACCATCATTATCATCTCATAAACACACACACACACACACACACACACACACTCTCTCTCTCTGAATCAGGAATTCTTCACCTTTGATACTGCGACTGTTTTCTACTCTTTCTATTCGGGATGAACATTCAGGAAAACAGAGGAAGCCTCTACATTTACGCCTGCGGTAAATGACCGAACAATCTAATGACGCTGAATGTCTTTGTGAGCGCGAGTATGTGTGAAAGGGTGTGACTGCTGACCTCTGACCCTTGACCTTTGTCCTGTATCGTGAGAGCACCTGTTATCAACTTTATTGATCTTGTGGGATCTTCCTGATGATAGTGAATAAAGAAAAAAACATGAAACATTCCGCTCGAGTGTGTTTTACTGTTGTCTTTAGAAAGATTTCAGTATTTTAGGTCAAGTGCTTCAGCATTTTTTCATATTTATAAGTATTTTACGTGTGTTTAGTATTTAAATTATGAAGCATCAAGTATTTTATTAATTCTTTGAGTAAGTTTTTGTACTTCTTTAATAAGTTTCAGTATTATAGTAGGTGTTTAAGCTTGAGGATTTACACCCACCTAAATGTAAATAGTAACAGTTCCTGACTCCTGTAAGCTACAAACTGGATATCATTGGAGAGAGCTCACTTTGAGCTTTACTCTGCTAAAGGGGAAGTTACATGCTTCAAAATATAAAAAGTTATACATCATGAAGTCATGAGAAAAAGACAATTGTATTGTTTAATATTAGTTTTCCATATAGAAACACAGGAAAACATTAATGTAATGACCTATAAAAATATGACTAGAAAGCCCAGTGTCTCATGAGTTCATATTTCAGATTTGATGAAGATAGCATGCAGAATGAGATTACTGTAAAAGGTTTTCCGAGACCATATCGGTGCTCTCCTTGTCCGTCAGAGGCATTTCTCAAAAATGACTTTCCTAAACTAAAACATGAACAGTTGCATGATGAGTTGGTCTACAGTCATGGTTTATGTGTCGTTGGAAAGAAGACACACTGGACTTTATTATCCATCATCTAGGGTTTATAATGCTCAAAATGAAAAGTTATTGATGCTGGAGTATCGTAAAAAAAATTGCACTGCCGGACTTAACATTTTATTATTTCTTACACAAATAAAGTAAGTAGGTTTGGGCGGTATTGGTTTTAGACTAATACGGTATACAGCGGGATCTAAAAATAGCACCGGTGTCAGTTTCAATACTGTTATACTGCCATAAAAAACAATGCACTTAAATAGGAGACAAGTATTTTTTTTTAAAGATTTGTTTTTGGCCTTTATTATATAGGACAGTATTTAGACAGGAAGAGAAGTTGGAGAGAGAGAGGGGGTAGGGTAGGGAAACGTCCTCGAGCCGGGATTCGATCTCGGGCTGCCCTGACGTGCTACTGCACCATATGTCGACACGCTAACCACTAGGCTACTGCACCGACAATTGAAGACAAGTATTAAATAATAAATATCATTTAATGTCTTCAAATGCGTATGCGTGATAGTCATCACGGGACAGTGTGGAGGAGAGAGAGGTGAGGTAAGATGGCGAGTCGTGCACCAAGTGACCTGCAGTTTGGCAGTATTTCCGGTTTCGACCAAACGAGAAGGGAAACGTTGTAAATCCGAACTAGAGGTCTGCATTCCCGCTCCTGTACCGCGGGAGCAGTGGGACCCGATCAGATTTCTTGTGATGCGGGCATAAATATCTGAATAAAGCGCGGGAGCAGTCTGTAACTCTGGTGTAATATGAACGGGTCTAACAATATCGCTCCCGAGCAAGTGCATCACACAGAGAGAGAGAGAGAGAGAGCGTGGTGCAGTCTCCCTCTCTCTCTGTGTACATGTGTGTGAATAAAAGAGAACGTCCCGCGCAGATCTCTAATACGAACAAGACAAACAGGTGACCGAGGACCTAAGGTGGCATAAACGGTATTCCAACACAATCTCACGCCAGTTTGTAACTTTTTGATTTAGTGGCTAATTCGTATAAAATCGTACGATCTAATTCATACATTTTAGTACGATCTGCTCATCCCCCAATGATGGGTGGGGTTAGGTGCCATGCCACTTTTTTAAAATCGTACAATTTCGTACGACTGAACTCATACGAATTCCTACGAATTGGCCACTAAACTGGCAAAACGTAAAATACTTAAGTTATCTCGTGAGATCAGGCTGGGTATTCAGTTTCTGAATGGTTTATGCACAAGCCAACAGTTTGGTGACGCTGTCTGAGCCTTACGTCATAATTGTTTTTATTATGCACGATAATTCGGATACCGAGGTAAAATAGGGAGGAGGTTTGACGGTTTCAAAATTTGGATAACGCCCAAGCCTAAAATGAAATAAGTCCTAGAGCAACACAGAAAATTAACAGGTCAAAAGCCACACATCTCCTGCGTACACGTTTTAAATTCGATGCCAATGTCATGCAAAATGCAATTTCTGGAATCATTTCTCTGAGACAAAGGCTGCGTCTGAAACCATCTACTACTCAGTAGGTGCTGCAAATGAATTTAAACGTACTACTCGGCCGTTATAAAAGTGCGTTCTATACAGTATGAATGTGAAAAGTATGAATGGAATTCAGACGAACTACATCCGCCATTTTGTCATGGTCACGTGACCTACCTGCACCAGTTGCGTCGCCTCACTTCCATTCATGAATTCTCTTGCGGGGCATTATGGGATAGCGCAGTGTGCACTGGATGCACACTCCAGAATCTTGCTGGAAGTCGTAAGTCATCCGGGTACTTTTCGCATACTGATTTTCCAATTCTATGAATTCGGACACACTACTCGGCTCGCATACTGATTAATTCTGTGAA